ACTATTGCTTCTGAAAGTGGTTACTCTGGCTTGCCCTCTGGATCTAGCTTGCTGTAGTGTCAACTTTCACTTCTGAAAGTGATCACTTTCAACTCAAAATTTCTCAAAGGCTAAAAATCCATGGAAAAAGTCTAGAAATTCCTGCACAATTATTCAAATGATCAAAATTGCAAACTATATCTATGTAAATTAATGTAAATTAACCAAAAATTAAGAAACCTATAATAGTTGGCCAACATGATGTTTTTATGTTATTTACACTTCCTAAGTTTACTTTTTCTATTAAGAAACATCAAAATGACAAGTAAAAATCCAATAAAAAGTGGATTCATCAATCATTTGAATAGTTGTGCAGGAAATTCCAGATAAATTCCATAGATTTTTGGCTCTTAAGAAAATATGAAGTGAGAGTAATCACTCTAAAGTACCATAGTAATCACTCTAGGGAGCCAATTCCAAAGGTTAGGCTAGAGTAACTACTTTCAGAAGCAACAGTGATCACTCCAAAGTTAAAGAAAACCACCATACTTGCGCGTAATCACTTTGTGAGTGATAGTAATCACTCCAGAAGGCCCTAGGTTGAAGGACCTTGCGCATAATCACTCTTATAAGTGAAAGTGATCACTCTAATGAAGTCCAAACTAGAACACTCTACGCGTGTTCACTCTTATAAGCGAGAGTAACTATGCGCATCCAAAGTGACTACTATTATACACAAGAGTGATCACTACAGAAAGAGGGAAGCCTAAGGAATGCTACGCGTGTTCACTCTTGTAAACAAGAGTGATCACTATGAAGTGGCGTTAGACTTAGTATATATAGATTTTTGGGAATTAGGTTAGACAACTTTTTTACACTTCTAGATATTTGCCATTTTGGGAATACTTGCAGAGCTTAGATCAGCCTTGGGTGACAGCCAAAGATCCAACCTAGGGTTTGATTCATATTTTTTCTTTACTTTCCTTTAATTTTTACATTAATGTTATTGAATTCTCATTGTTTTCACCTTGTATTTGTGAGACCTATCCTCATGGAGGACTAAATCCTTTGTAATCCTTAGTGAGTTCACTTGGATTCTTGAACTCCTAGGTTATGAATGTTAATGCAATTCCTTTTCCTTCATCAATTTCTTTTTTCCAATCCTTTGAATTGAATTAATGGTTGAATGAGGGGGACATTGCTTAATTAATCCTAATTCATTTTAATGAGATTCTTAACTTAGGTTGCTTAATTCTAAGTTAATTTCTGAGGTTGCATAATCTTGGAAAAAGGGGTTAGAGTCTATTGAATTTGCTTAAATCCGTATGGGGTTTCAAGGTTAATTCTCGCTTGTTGAATTAATCAAATTCAGAGGAAGAGGAAGAGTGTTAAATGTTGAGAGGAATAGGGATAGAATCACGTGAATGCACTAAGGATTGCTACACTTTATTGATTGCATTTTACCATTTTGTTTATTACTCCATTCATTGAATCTGTAAATCAAACAAACCTCCCTTTTTAATTGCTTTCATAGTGAATGTTTGTAACATGTTTAATGCACATTTTCAACTAAAGTCATTGAAGATAACCTAGGCTTGCATCCTAGACTACATAAAATTTTTGCATACTTTGATGAGGATTAGCGACAAATCTTTATATAAATCTGAGCGATCATCATTGAGCTGAGCATGAGAAGTCACTCTGCACTTGAACATAACTAGATATTGATGAATTTTACTTGAATTATAACTTGTTAATGGTTCACATAGTTTTAAGAAAGCATACTCTCTGTGTTTTTAGTTAGAAAAAATGTTGTAATTGTTGAAATATTTCCTGCGTATTTGGAGAAATTCTAAACTAATTCTCCCTATGTTTAAATTGTGATTTTAGTATAGAAAATAGCAAGCACACCAAGGAGAACTCCAAGGACTAAAAAGGGAAGATTTTCAGCTGGTCTTTCTTCAAGAACTATTCCTGACCATGGCCCAAGATTTAGAAGCATTACACATGAAAATTATTTCAAAGCCAACATCTTGAGGAGGATGATTGTGGCATGATCGAAATTTTGATTTGAAAGAGGGAGAACATCCTGAATTTTCTAAACAAATTCAAAAAAGAGGCTAGGAGATTTTCACATCTATTGCTGGGAAAGGGTTCAAGGATATTATTCAAGAATTTTATGCCAATGCTATTAGGACCAAAGGAGAACATCTACCCTATAACTATACTGTTGTTCGAGGCATTGGGAAATGTATGGATAAGGATTACACTAAAATCCTAGAACTACATGGGAAATGAATGCAAGAAATGAAGCTAAAAGCATTTCTACACCGAAGAATATTTTGACCAAAAACCTGTTGCCCTTTGCAAAAGTATAGAGTATTTTCATACTTAGTTCATTCATGTCGGTGATGCACAACTCAACCATTATTTTTAAGAGAGCTGAGCTCATTTTTGCCATTGTTAGTGACTTCTACATCAATGTGGGAGAAGTGATCAACAACAGCATCAAGGCAATTCTGAAAACAAAGAGAGATTCTTTAGCTTTTCCAGGATTAATCACTTTACTTTGTGAAGATGCAGGAGTTAATTTTGGAGAGTTCAAAGAAGAGATAAAGGCCCCTCCACCCATTACAATAGCTATGATCAAGGAGATCTATGCCACAACCCCAGTCACTGCTGCCTCACCTGTCCCTACAAAGTTCAAGAAGGATCCTTCTTTTAAAATCAAGACACAACTGCAAAAAATTTTGGACATACATGACTCTTTGGCTGAAAGACAAAATACTCTACATGAAAGCAATAAGGCTAGAGTTATGCTCTTGGAAAACATCATGATGAATATTAGTACGAAGTTGGGCATGTCTAAGGAGCAACTCTATGAGTCAGAGGTGGAAAATGCCCAATGCCTTAGAGCCACCACATTCAACAACCTTCCTCTATTCAACACTTACTTAAACAATCCTCCAAGAGTTAATTCGGATGAAAGTGATGAGAGTGAAGAAGACAGTGAAGAAGAAAATGAAGAAGAAGAGGAGAGTTCAGAAGAAGACGAAGAGGAATAGATTAGGAATTTAGTTTTAGCTATTTTTCCTTTCAAAACTTAGTTTATGTAATTTTTAGTACTTAGAAACTTTAAATTTTGCAATTTTAGCCAGTAATTTTTAGTTGTTCAAAATAATTTTAATACTTTTCAGTTATAATGAAGTACGATTTTCATTTGGTTTTATATTTTTGCATTCTAATTACTTTTTTTTATTAATTGATGGAAATTTTGGTGTTTTATTAATTCATTTGAAAAATTATGGAATATGCGGAGTTGCCACCAAAATTTTATTTATTTTTATAAGGATAAAATATTAGAAAAATCCTTAAGAGTTCCAAGATCGTGAATTGGTTACAAATAGAGAATGTATTAACACCCTTATTCGCCCATGAATGGTACATCAAGATTAAATAGCACAAATAATTTTAAATATAAACCCAAATATTTATTTATTTTTTCTTATTTTCTATTTTTTTTAAAATTTGGCCTAAGGTATAAGTTGTCACCGTTGTAGGCAAAAACAATACTTGAGATCTCAAAATAATTCTTAACCTCAAATCATATTTTATTTTAAAAACAAAATGATTTTATAAAAAGGAATTTTTATTTTTATTTGAAAGCTGACAAAGTCCTAATAACTTGAAAACAGATTTTTTATATTATATTTTATTATTATTTTTCATATTTTGTGTTTTTTTTAAAGATTTAATATCTAAAACTGACTTTCACAAAAAATAGAAAAAGACTTTATTTTTTATATTTCATTTTGAAAGATTTAACAACTTAAAAAATCAAAAATTATTTTATTTCATTTTTTTATATTTTACTAAAAATATTTTTTATTTTTTATGAATTTAATAAAAAAACTAATCTTTATATTTTATTTTAAGAAAAAAATTATAATTAATATGTTTAATTGAAAAATAATTTCTTTTTTTTTAAATTTTTTTTTACGCTGTGGGGTGACACTTGAAGAAGAAAAAGAAACACAAAGATGAAAAGAAAATAAACTAAAGAAAGAAGAGAAAAGCAAGAGAGAACCACACAAACGAAAAAAAAAGCACTAAAAACATAAAGAGAAAGTAAAGAAACAATCATATAATAAGACATTAATGCAGTATTTTTATTTACAATAAATGATAGATAAAATAGAAAAAAATTAAAATTCATATATTTTTCTTGCAATATCTCTGTCTCTTTTTATGTTTTTTTATGAAATTTTGTATTAAAAATTCTCTTTAAAAAATTTCGTTTCCAAAATTCTTCCCTTGAAACAATTTTTTCTTCAAAATTTCTCCTCCTCCCTTTATGTGTATGTAAGTCCCTATTTATAATAAAATTAATATCTAATAAAAAGAAATTAAATATATTTTTTATGCCTTAATTATTTTAATTCTATTCTATATATTTTTAAATTAACTAAAATTAAAGATAAAAACAATAATTATTATTTATATAATATCTTTATAATTTTTATTGATTATATATTTTTTAATTACTTTTTGTTTTATTTTTAAAATTTTATTTATTATTTAATAAAATTCGCAATATGTTCACAATTATTCTGCTATTCTATGTTTTAATATATTATTTACATTTCTATATATTTACATTCACTCTTTTATCTAGTAGTCATGCAGCTATTTAGTTTTTTTTAATCTTTTATTTTTTTCAACCTTATTATTATTATTATTATTATTATTATGAAATTATTTTTAGAAACAAATATTACTTTTACCTTTTCAGAAATAACCTAATTCAATCATTCAACAACGTTTCTCTCACTTTTGTTTTTGTCAACATATATTTTCTCGTTCACATTATTTATATTAGAAAAAGAAAAAGACCGTTATATACGCAGTCTCGCTTCCATTCTCCTAGTTTTTGAAATAAGTGTAAGGGCGGTCTCCTTGGCGCCTTGCAAATTAATCTCTCACTCTCCCAAACCTTCTTCGTTTAGCTTCTTCAATCCATTCTCTCCCTTGCAATTGCAATGGCTTCTCCATCCGAATCCCAATCATCTCTCATCGCGAAGCTTCAGTCCTCCGATGCCACCGGCGTCCACGCCCTAGTCTCCGACTACCTTCGTCCCCTCGCAGATCTCAACCCAACCAAAAAATCCAACCAGGATCAAACCCTAGTTCGATCACTCGCCAAGCGTTTTCTCCCCTTTCTCAACACTTCCTTATCCATTCTTCCCAAACGTCTCCCCGAAGTTTCTAAATCCAACGATGCCGTCTTGCTCCTCGAATTGCTACACGTTTACCGCCTCTGCCTCCATTGCTTGGACACCGTCGCTTCTCAGTTGGCTTCCAAGCCCTTCCCCGTCGAGTTGCAGAGACTTCGTTTGATGCACTGTCTCGAGGCTTGTGGCCTTCTCCACGAAGCTGAAGCCGAGGGTTTAGGAGTTTTGGAGAAGCTTCGATCGGCGAATAGGAAAGGTAAACTTCTCCCTGAAATTGATAAGGGCGGTGGAAATGGTAAAGAATTATGCTCTTTGGTGGTTGAGATCGTTGTGAGCCTGGTGAGGTGTGCAGCCTTGGGCTTAGCTAAAGAGGATGAACAATTCAGGAGCGTGCTCAATTTGGTGGAGGAAGTAAGGCCCTGGCTTAGGTGCGTCCATGTTTATTATTGCTGATTCTGATTTTTGTATTTTACTTTTTGGTGTGTCTCATAGTACACGTGTCCCTGTTACTATAGTTTAGTCCCTGAACGAGTGGATTCTCTTACACTGCACTGTAACCCTTCTAGTTAGTTAGATGTTAGTTAGTGTGTCCAGCTCAGCATTCGGCTTTTCTAGCTGTCCAGAAGAATATATAAATGTAGAGTTCCTCGATTGTACACACACAACTAACAACAATCTGAAAATTACAAAGAATAATTATTATCTCATTTTACTTTTTAACATTTTCTTTTACCGTGTGTTTCTTTCTTTACCCGTGATTTTCAACATGATATCATGAGCTCATTTTCAATCCGGACCTGATGCCTAGTTCATGGAATTCGTTTGGATATGTAACTATCACTATTTCTCATCCAATCTCGATCAAATTAGAGTAGAAGGTTATCTACTATGAATGCAACATATTCAAGGACTAATTCATGGCCGTAGACTCCAATATTTTGTAGTATACCTAGATGTTCCTCCAAACTTCCTTAGGAGCAGGATCGAGTACGTATAATGTGATCCTGCATGTGTAGACTGTGGTCAACGAGATTCACTCCCTACAACATGGCTTCTCTCTTTGATTTTTTAGTCTCTCCTTCGCCGCTTAATTGGTTGCATGCATTCCTGGCAAATTTGTAAATACACAGCTTCTTTCATGCTCAGGTCAAGGCCTCTGCCAACTTTGGTCTGAGCTGCAAAATAGCAAGAAACACAATCTCAATTGTTCAAGGGAGGACGGTCCCTTGCAGGATGAAGCTAGTCTTGTCTCAAGCATTTTTTCATCTGTTAGTTGTCTTTAAATTCTTAGTTGTATGTTTAGTTTTCATTTAGATATTAGTTTTATTTTTGCCACAACTGCCTTTTTGTATGCTTTGGATTGTTATAAGCTGTTAAATTGCCCATTTATTCCACTTATTGTTTCAGGAGATTGGATTCTAATTCATATGAAAAGTTGCACAAGCTGTTAGTAATTCAATTGGGTAAATGTGCTTTAAATTTATTGGGGAGGAAGACATTTTCTGATAGAGATTTGGTGATCCTGTTTTGTTGTATGACATTGACTGAGTATGTGAAATCTCCGATCAAAGATCAAGTCTACAAGGTAAGTAAGACTCTAAACTTTTGGATATACATCAATAAATTTTCACTTGCCATCCTGATAAAATATTAAATGCAGCTTGCCTACAGGATATGCTCCATACTGTTCACACTGCAGGATAATAAATCCTTGTATATCATGGAGATACTGGATTGCATAGTTCGAGAGTGCAAGGTAATGTCTATGGCCTGGCCTAGCAACATATAGTCTACCCCAGGTGCTAAAATTCTATCATTTGTGCATTACACATATTTAGAAGATTTCTAGCTTATTTTGTTTATTTTTTGGGCCTTTTTCTTTCTTTTTTTTTTTTTTTTGAGGGGGGGGGGGTTAAGACTGTTTTTAGGCTACTAGATTGTTTTCCTTCTAAATAACAAAGTTGGTGTTTTCTTGATGGAATACTGGATTCTTATATTCATCAATTATATTAATCCTTTTCAGGTTGAAGAGGGAAATACAGGAACGGAGTTTGTTGAACTTGTATATTACTGTGCGAAGAAATGTCAGACTGCAAATGCAAGTTTTTCTAGTACATTTGCAGCATATTTGAATAAAATAGCAGAAAGTTTCAAAAAGGTATTTTTTCTATCAAGGTTTTCTTGTGTACACTTTTAATTTACGCTGCAATTGTCCACATTTAGTATTCCACTTTGATTGAAGTAGCTTGGCAGGTTATGACACCCATTAGTTCAATATTGAGGCTTTATGCTGTTGGGTTGCACCTTGTTAGTTGTAATTTGAGTTCCAGAGCTGGAGATCTGGCATCCTCTGGCAGAGCAAAATTTGAGTGTTTGCTTGGAACTTTACTGGAAAATGAGGAAATACTACAGAGTTCACCACCTTTGCTTGGTTCCTTGCATGTTTGCAGCAAAAGTAATTGTATGTCATCCAGTGTTGAAGTCCAATCTTTTGATGGTCACCCATGCACTCAATCAGGTTCTGATTGTTCTGATTGTGAGACTTCTATGACTTACCTGTCAGTTTACATAGAGGCATTGAAATTTCTATGCCAACCGCTTGCTAAATCAATTAATTCAGAAAGGAAACAGCTAGTTACGGAAGAGGGCGATGCTTCTACTTTGACTATGCTGTCCACTATTCAAGATGCATTCCATATCCTTTGTCATCTTATTCTTTCTAGTATAAGGTATACCGAATGAATCTATTCTTTTGTACTATAATTTTCACTTGTGACATAAATTCTGAAAAGTATTTTCTAGGAGCTTATTTTTTTTATCATTTTGTTTATTTACAAGATGAGATATCTCAACAAGTTTGAAAGATTAAACCTTTTGTGTGTTACATATTGTGTTGTTTTTTATGTTAATATCTAAATTTCACTTCTTGGCTGCAGTTGTACACCTAAAAATAATGGAGATGAATTTGATGAAAAGAGTAGAATAGTGCTCAATGTAGCTTTAGCAGCCTTCACCCTTTCCATTAGATCCAATCTTAAACTCCAGGTTCTCCTCGTTATCATGAAATGCTCATATTTCTAGTTTTTGACTATAATGTTTTTCCCTCACAGGATACATTCTTGAATTTCTGAACTTTTAACAGAATGTTTTTTTTTCATAAGCTAATTAATTTTTGTCCCTGTTTCAGGAGAGCAAACAATTAATTAAGCAGATGATTGCTAGCAAATGGATTGAAACAGAAGGATTAAAATACATAATTGCTTGTCTCTACAATATTGCTGTAGTGCTGTACAAAAACAAGCAACTGGAAAAGGTATTCCATACCCCACTCCCCTTTTTATTGAAATCAGAAACATATTTGCCTCTTGAGATGTTTCCACAATCAGTTATAGATGCTCTGCTCTTGGTTATGGAGATCTAATATTATTCCTCTGGTTTTGGTACCAGAAGCTTTATCACTTGATATAAGCCTTTAGCTGGAAGTAAGAGGATTAGACATCTTGTTGACTTGGTGGAATATGGAATTATTGATATAAACATTCCTTGAATCTTATTTGGTGCATACTGCTAAAAACCCATTTAACCCTGAAAGCTCCAGATATTTGGTAAGGGCCCATAAATTAAACTTTTAACTCTACCATGCCTGCTGTTAAAGACGACTACACTTAAACGTGGCAAACAAGTAAATTGTATGGAAGGTATTATCTACTCTGAGCTGAAACCCTTGTTATAAGATTGAGAAGAATCGTATTCTAGATCATTTAATCAACCTAGGTTTGGCACTGTATCAAAGAACTACTTGCTAGAGCAGACCGAGAATGGTTTTCAATTTTTTGTAGACTGAAAAGATTAAAAATGCAGTAGTTAATAATGAACAAATGGTTGAAAAGTGTTGCATCTAAAACGAAATGTGGAAACTATGAGTAGAAACACATCTAGTTGTGTACACTTGCTAATTTCTTACCATTTGATTTTGAATGTGCAAATATTTTGGTCATGGATGAAGAATGAGAATGTCATATTTTTTGCTTCAGTTCTTTACTCTTGTTTCTGTCTGATTATTACTACAGGCTTCAAAGGTTCTCAACTTATGTTGTAAAGCTTCATGGCTCTGTATTAAATATCATTGTAGTAATCTATCAGAAGGTGCTTTGAAAGAGTCTGTAAAGGAAGCTTGTGCGACAAGTGCTTTCCTTTTAGATATTCTCTATGACATCAACAATCTTAAGACTAGCAAAAAAATTATTGAGATCCTAAAAAACTGGTCCACTGCTAATGAACTGTTTAAGAGGCTTCCAGCTCCAATACATGTAGTCAAGCAGTGGGTGAAGGTAACATTTTGAAGCATTTATTTTTAAGTATTTTTGACAGGTTTCTGTTAAATTTACTTCACTGATTGTAATATGGTATGGTAATGGAATGCAGATAGAATGTAAACGTGCTATACAGCAAGATGAGAGAGTTGATTCTCTTACCTTGTACTCCCTGCTGTCATCTTCGACAGAATTGTCAAAGAGGAATATTGGCACAATCTTGGAGCAGGTTCAGCCTCTTTGTTCATTTGCATAGAAATTTCATTTCATTTTTACTGCTGTTTATTTAAATTAATGTGTATTGGACCAGTTTGTCAATTTGTTCTTTTTTTTAATGCCTGTTTAGGAACTTACTGCATATGAGGAAATGAGTCTTAAATATCCAGAATTATGTCAGAAAATGCAAATGAAAATCACGGGTATTCTTCTGCAAGATATATATATCACTTCAGATACTCGTTTTCAAAAGGCACAGACTCTAGTGAGAAAGGGAAAGGCGATAAGGTTTTGTGGCATAGGTGGTCTCACGGACAGCATTCAGTGTCTGTCAGAAGCAATAACTATTATGGTAAGCTGAATGGTTCTTCTTGTTTTTCCCTCATATATGTAACCTCTGTTATTTGTCAAGTACTTGTTGGAGATGTATATGCCACTAATATGAAGTAATTCCTCTTCGACAGAAGGAGATTTCTGGCAAGATGTGCACTGATAATAATCCCATTGATCATCATTTGTGTGTGACATATTGCTTGCGTGCACTATGTACACAGGAAGCTGAACCTAATTCAAAGGTATTTAAACTATGTTGATAATTTTCATTATGTCATTCAATAATTTCTAATTTTGTTTTTTACAAGACCGGAATTGTCATTGATGATGTCATCATTTTATGATGTTAAATTTAACAGTTCCCCTTTTGCTAAAGCTTAGCTTGGTTTTCCTTATGGATATGTCAAGGGATCAAGCAGCTTTGCTTGCATTAATGATATTTTTTTTTGCTCTCTTTATTTTTTATTGTTATTGTAAAGGGACTTTCTTATCCGCCAATGATTTTGTAATCTTCTTTATCATTTCTTCTTTTATTGGAAAAAAAAAACTTATCTTAGTTTGTTCATTAAGCAGCAAATCTTTGAAGATGTCAAGGCCGCCTTGGATCTATGGTTGAGCATTTCTTGTCTTAATTGTTTCGAAGAGGGAGATTGTGCTGCATTGTCCAACAGTATAATGATTCTACTCTATAACATAGTTGATTTAATACAATTAAAGGTTTGTTATTCTTTTTTTATCATTTTGATTTCTGTAGTTTTTGTGTAAGATTTATAGTGACAGTATTTTAGTTTCAATGACATATCTTCAGGGTTTCATAGAACTCTTCAATGATGCATATCAACTGCTGATTAAAATGTTTAAATGGAAGAATGTCCCAATTGAGAAGTGGTTGACCTTAATGTGGGAAAGTAGAAGGCTCTGTCATGCCCTTTGTGTTTCACCTGTAAATGAGGCGTTCCTGAATTCATTGGATGAGTTTAGTGAACTTTCAAATATTGATTTTTGGATACGTTATCTTCAGGGAAACAAATCATCACTGATAGGGTTTCAGCAGAATTTCTCTTTCTTATTTGCTAGCTGTCATGTGAATCCTTGCAGACACACAAGTACTTTTCAAACAGACATCACAGTTGATGAAGTTCAAAAGGAAGCACTTGAACTGATATCAAACGTAAGGCCCTTCTAAGAGAATTCTTCATACTCTCTTTTTATCCAAAATCATCACTCTGTTTTCTAATTAATCTTCTAGGTTCCTGTCCCAAGTCATTCTACTTTTCTTGCTGGATATCTTTATTATGATCTATGCCCAAGGCTCATTGCAAATGGACAGTTAATAGAGGTAAATAGCATTGATTCCAATTTAAATTTATATACTAGTGTATTGTTCATCAATCCCTTGACTTTTAAACTAAAGACAAGACAAGTGCTATTTACAACATGTTTCATGTTTGTCTCAAGTTTTTTGTTTGTTTGTGAGGGATTGCAATACTGATGATCAATTTTCAATTTTTATGTGGTTTTCTTCTTTCTAACTAAACATGGTTTCAATATTTCAATGTGATAACTTACCCGTGCTTCCCCCGATGGTCATCTTGGTTGTGTATAGTGAAAATATTTTTGGACTGGGTAAAGTAGAGTAGAATGTCCAATTTTTATTTTTATTTTTTTTCAATTTCCTCCTTATTTTCTATGCATTCAACCAAGCAACCATAGTTCTTTAAAAACAAAACTTGAAAATTTTGGAACTTCAAATTTATTGGGAATATGTTATCTTTAATTTCCTTATAAGTTGAGCTTATTTCATTCCTTGTTAATTTATTTTGTTTGCAATGGGATATGAAATAATTAATTGTCAGTTAAATGAATGTTAAGTAGTAATTGAAGATGGAAGGGCTTGTACCTCAGATTAAAACTTCTCTTGCAATATAATCTACTGGGTTCTAGTTATATTTGTTATATTTTGGCAAAGAAAGAGTTTAAGCAAAGGGGATGTGCCCCATTTTAAGGTCAAGATGTGCCGAAATCCCTTGGTAGGGCTAATAAATAGTGCTTACAAATAACTTACCATGAAAGATACATTTTGTTATTGTTTCTTAACTTTCTATACACCATATCTTTTTGGTCTTACATTGTTTCCCATCTTACAATATCTATTTTCCTTTTTAAACTTATTAGGCTCTTTCATGTGCAAAAGAAGCTCATAGATTACATTCCAAACTCTTCCAAAGGAAATTTACACACAATGTTCAACAGCAGAATGAAGAGGACAGTGTAATAGTTGATTTCTCAAAGAATCTTATGGATGGTGTTGAGAAAATTAGAGTGAACTTATCAGTTGTCAGGGAAGTTTTCCTATTTGATTGTATATCCTGGGACATGAAAGACAGTTATCTTAGTGCGTGGAAAGTTATGCAATGTTATCTTGAGAGCACTCTGCAGGTTTGATTTCTATTTTGCCATCCTTCTCAAATATGGAATTAATTGTACTCAGAATTTCAGATGAGGCTGGCATATGCACTGTATTTCAATTTCATTTATGCTTGCAGGTAGGAATCATCCATGAAATGATAGGAGATGGTGCTGAGGCTGAAGCCTATCTCCGTTGGGGGAAAGCCATATCCTGTTCACTAAAGTTGCCTCTGTTTACAATAGCTTTCTCTTCCTCTTTAGGTATTAAAGTTACTTGAAGCCTTTTCTCCCTGCTTGGATTGATAAGTTTTCATTCCCTGATTGGAAGGAAAATTATTTTTCATTTTTGTGATGTGCTTTGCTAGGAAAACTGTATGTTAAGAAAAGACTTTGGGATTTAGCAGAGAAGGAACTTCGAAGTGCTGAACAGATTTTAAAGGATAGTTGCGCAACAATCTGTTGCTCAAAGTGTAAAGTGAAGCATGAAGTTACCCTGAGTGAGTATCTTGGAGATTTGTGTCAAAGTAAATTTGACACTTGTGATAGGGTTATTTCTGAAGAGACTGCAAAAGATTGGTACACATTAGCTTTTGATAAACTAAACCTTTGTGAGTGGAAAAACCCTCTTAGCTGTCCAGAAGATGGCAGTGATGGAACCGCAGCAGATGTAAAGTGTCCTGCTGGCAAGACTTGTGCTTGCTTTATAATGAATGATGCAGGTGAAAATGTGAAGAAATCCATAAAAGCAGGGCCAGAAACTGAGATTGGAGCAAAACAAAATAGAAAGACTAAAAGTACGGCAAATGCTTTGCCAAAGGAGCCAAACTTAGTTGAGAAAAAATCAAGGTTAACTCGTTCTAGATATCGATCTTCACTGAATCAAGATACAAGCATTTCCAGTAAGTTAGAAGTCGGTGACAGACTGGAGGTGAATCATGTTGCTGATGCATCTGATATGCTTAGTCAGAATTTTAGATTAATGAGGTGTTGGTACTGTCTTCCTTCTGAAGTTCTGAAATCTGGATTACTAAATGATTTTATCAATCTTAAATGGGAGTTTGTCCGGAGGCAACTTTCAATGAAGCTACTCAGTCGAATAGGTAAGAGTGTCAATTCATATTTTCTGTTTGTTCTGTTCTTGTGTAAAATGCAAGCAGTATTGAGTAAACATCTAGAGCTTGATCTTCTGAGTTTTTTTCAACTTATTATCCCATTTACATGGCATTATTTTTTTTAGAAAGGTTTTCTTGAGAAATGCGTTTCCCAAATTTTGACTTTTTCCTTTATTAAAGCCAGTTTAAGAGCTATATATTTTGCATCCTTTGGAAGTAAAATGAAATTAATTGCTTGTTGTTGCTATTGCTTTTGTGGACTTTCTTTCATATAATTATTTGGCTAGGCAACTGACAGTCAAGCAGGTAAGACCATAGATTTAGGGCATGTTTGTAAAAGTTTATGAACAGCTTTTGACTCTCATAAGCTACTTCTAGTTATTTTAATAAACTTCTTGGTATAACTTATCAAAATAAGTTTTATTATTAAATTTATGATATAAGTCATCTTTTTACGAAGAACTTATTGAATAAGTGCTTAAATAAGTAGTTATCCAGATGCACCCTTATTTACTAATGGAAATTTTCTTTTTGAGATAAACCTCTATTTAAAGACAGTTACATTGTGTTATTTTTTGGGTATGACAAATATTCCTAGCTTTGAATTGGGTTAATTGCTAAGTCTGTCAGTGTTTATATAGGGTTTAGAATTTGTGTAAAGAAGGTAAAGTTGAGTACAAATCATAGCTGAACAATAACAGACACGAGTAATTTCATAACTGCACTTTGTACACCAGTTGGGTTGTAACTTGCTTATATTATATTACTGTCTTTCTTGCTTGCTTGCTCTGATTTGTGAATTTATTTATTGTGTAAATTTGTTTGCTTTTTTCCATTTCTAATATATTTATTTACAGTGAAAAGCATTACATATCTTGGTCAAATTGATGAAATACGGAAAATTCTTCTACAAAGCATATCAGTTCTGGTCAGCAGAAACCCATTCCACCCCACATTTTCATCTATTCCTCTAGATTATTTTCATCATTCGGTTGCAAGGGAGATCCCAGGAGATGTATTTACTATTGAACGTGCAGAAATAATTCATGACATATGCCGGTATTCCTTAAAGAACTATCATTCCGAGTTTGCGAGGTATTTGTACCAACTAGTTTCTTTAATACACTATGCTTTCTTTTTTTTTTCCATGAGAAAACAAGTTTATAGGTTTACATTTGCATTGAAATATGTGTTGTATAATAAACTTCCCAAATGATTAATATGGAGTTGTGATTGACTAACTGCATTGTATATGACATACTTTATGACGTGTTTCCTGAAAATGTTTTGGTCTTAACAAGGAGTATCATGTAGATCAATAAGGAAATAATAATTATTTGCTTCTGTTGAACTTGTCTGAGGTATTTTATGACTTGCTTTTCCTTTTTTTTTTTTTTTTGCCATTACTTGTCTCACATTTTTATAATGACATTGTGCTTAGGAAAAGATCCTCTTTGTAAAGTGCTGAGTTGATAATTGTTTACTCAGAATCAACAAATCACATTTTGATAAAAGACCAGAACCTGAATAGTCTTAAAAAGAATGTTGATTCTTGAGAATCCACTTCATAATTTTTTAATCAGCCGGATCCTTTTGCTTTTAAGAAAATCTTCATTGGATAGACGTTATTTAGTGTTTGCTATACTATGCCTTGTTGCAAGCTCCTAAAACACTGTCTCCCTGCTATATCCATAAACTCTTAGTTATAGACTTTTGACATTTTGGTTTTTCCTTACAGGAATATTTTCTGTAAACTATCTTCCGTCAAGTTTGAAGACCTGGCTTCTTGGCTGATGGTGGCCTTTGTACTCTCTCGTGAGGTTCCTGTTATTTTTCAAAAGGTCATACTTTGCCATCTTTATGTTATTATTGTGTGACAATTTTCACTTGTAGAACTCTGCCTTTTTATAGTGTTTGTATTGTATTTATGATAGTTGATATCCATATTACATGTATCCAAGGATACTATCTATCTTATTTTGTTTTGGTAATTGAAACTCAGATAGAAGTTGCCAACAAAGAACCCACACAGGTTGTATACAACATCCAGTTTACAGAGTTTAGCAAAATAAAAAATCCAAGAACATCAGAAATTTGATATAACATTGTGATATATTTATTATCATTAAAGCAATTGCAGTGTTTTATGGATTCAAATGCCTTGAGTTGCTTAATCCTGAGCAGGGTATGACCTCAGTATGCTGATGATGCTGCAACAGGTGTCTAAATTACTTGCTGTGACGTATGTAGTTTCTGCCTCGAAGGAGCAATTTTCTCTGTCACCTTTTAGCAAAGCTTTGGGTGAAAATTATTGGTCTTCATATTTCCACCAAGCTTCAATTGGAACTCATCTTACTTACCAGTTTCTTTCACATCTAACTGGGAGATACAAGGTACAAGCTGTTGTTGTAGGTATATATATTCATGTATATCAATATATGGAATTTTATCTGCGCCATCTATTGTGAATGTTGACTTTTGAAAAGAACACTGGTAGTTGGTTTGTCAATCTGGAAATTTCTCCTGAATTCTTGCACTCATTTTTATGCATATTTTTTAGTACATTATTACCTTTTTGTGTTCTCTTGTTTATTCTGTAGCCTTTGACTTTGGTATTATAGGATGTGACTGTATTGTTGTCTCAGGCACAAGGAATGCATTGTAGGGCTTGTATCTATGCTCTGCACATTTGAGATTAGCTGGTTGATTAACAGTCCAGCTTAGATGGAAGAACTCTGCTTAATGTTTTTGAAACCTGAGCTATTATTGATCCAAAGAGTGATCACTATTGATCAAAAATGCTGATGCCTTTTATAGGAGTTGCTGTAATCCTTTTTGAAACTCCTTATTTGTGCCTGGCAGAGACTTAAGTAGTATATAGGTTTAGGATCCCTTGACAACATTGAAATTCAAAATCAATCTTTCACAATTAAATGACATTTTATAAAATAAAATTCTTGTGAGGTGGATGCAGCACAGCTCCTGTCTGACAAAAATTGAAAATGGACTGCTGGACTTCATCAAGATAAAGTCAAAGTACAGAGGGCTGAAGCAAAAACCCATTAGGATGTGTATTGCCTCATTGTAAGCTCACAAGTAATATAATGGTCCAATTGCAGTGAGATTAAACACAGTGCACACCCATAGATAATTCAATGTCTAAAAACAAGCATTTGACCCAACAATTATGTATAACTCACTCTTGCTTCTTGTTTGATGTCGTAAACTGCTTTTTTGGTATGTGAAAGTCAATAAAATAAGTTCTATTTCAGGGTTCATATATTACTGGATCTTCTTGCATCAGAGAATGCACATTCGACTTACTCAGGTGTCAGTTGTTTTCATTACATAATAAAACATAGAATCAATTGACATACAACCTGAAGCTCAATGGCTTTGCTGCTTCCTGTTGCAGGCTCGTGCCTGATACCACTGTAGATCTTGCAGAGTATGTGAAAAAGTTTTTGGCTGGTCTTCCATCTACAACAATAATCAGTATCAGTTTACTTGGACGTGATTATACTAGTTTACTACAGGAATTGTTGCCTTATCCTACATGTGTTCAAGCATGGATGCTGGTGTCCAGACTGAGTCTTAAGAACGAACCTGTTGTAATGTTACTGCCACTGGATTCTATCTTACAAGGTATATAGCTCAAGTAACCACATACATACAGCATCTGATCTTGTATAAGTGTTAAGCATTACCTCATGAAATTTAACACGGAAACTTTTCATCACCAGCTTCGGATGAGGGTGATCTGAGTACTGGTTCAGGCACTCTTCCTCAGTGTGAGGAACGTAGTAAAAACTGGCATTGCCCATGGGGTTATGCAGTAGTTGATGATGTGGCTCCAGCATTCAAAGCAATTTTAGAAGAGAATTACTTGTCAACAGTATCTCCTTTTGAAGATACAACACAGAATAGGATGTTATGGTGGAAGCGGAGAAAGAACCTTGATCATCATCTTGATACATTGCTTAGGTGCACTACCTCTCATTATTCAATTTGCATTTACTTAATCTACCCTGCAGAATCCTTTCTCCATAGTTGAACAACATGTGCTCAATGCAACACTTTATCCATTCTTTGTGAAGAAACTCTAAAATTTTAGAATACCACTATGCACAGTGACATCATTGATTTGGGTGGTAATAGTTTTAAATATTAAGAAACTAATTGTTATCTCTCCTTGTATGATTGTCTATGTTTTATCAGGAACCTTGAAGAGTCATGGTTTGGTTCATGGAAATGCTTGCTTCTTGGAGAATGGTTGAACTGCAAAAATTTTGACTTGGTGCTTAAGAATCTTGTGAATGATCTAAGATCTAAATGTAAATTGGATGTAAATGAGGGTCTTCTTAAAATTATTCTTGGGGGCTCCAAATATGTTTGTGACGAGAAAACGATGGTTTCACAACTATGCTCAAAGAAAGACTGCTACATTGCTAAAGTAGGATATTGTGACGAAGCAAGGGGTGGGATATTGTTGAATGCTGCCAATGGATTTGGAGTATCATCTGAGGTTGCTTTTGATATGTTAAATGAGGCATTAAATATGCTGGAAGTGGATGACTCTATGACTAGAGAGCCTATAATTCTTGTTTTGGATTATGAGGTGCAAGTAAGTCAATTGTTTCTGAATTTCTTACCATGCAATTATGAATTAATTTTAAGCATTAAGCTCTACTGTTTGGATGTTATATGGTGCAGTAAATTAATAAAGCTATTTTTTAACTATTTTTTCCAACCTTCTATGTAAAAATGATAATTGGTTTTTATTTCTTTCAGATTTTATTAACATATATGTGCTCTATAACACATTCAAAGCAGCAGTATTTTCAACAGTTATAATCAATTTTTTTATTTCCAATTCGGTAATTTCTTGTTTGATTATCCTCTTACCACATCTACTAGGCTAAATTAGTGGCAAGGAAATGTCATTTTAGCTAATATTTTTGAAACTTCTATTCTTGCTTTAACCTATAACCAAATGTGTTTTTCAATTCCAATATCAATAACAAGCCTACTATTGGGACAGATGCTTCCTTGGGAAAACCTGCCCATTTTAAGGAACCAGGAGGTTTATAGGATGCCTTCAGTGAGCTGCATTTCTGCTGTTCTTCATAAAGGTAGCCACCGTAAGGAGCAAGAGGGAAGGAATTTGGCGCTCTTTCCTTTGATAGATCCACTGGATGCTTTTTATTTATTAAATCCAGATGGTGATCTTGATGGAACTCAGATTGAATTTGAGAATTATTTTAGAGATCAAAACCTGGAGGTATTTTAGTTGTTTGAATTTGATAAGAATACAAGGGAAGAAATGTAACAGATTTTTGTTTTAGTGTTAATTGTTTGATCTAATACATCTACTGAATAGTTATGTCTTTTTCTCATCTTGTTCCTTTATAGGGAAAGGCTGGTTCTAGACCCACCGTCAAAGAATTGGCTTCGGCATTGGAAAGTCATGACCTTTTTATATATTTCGGGCATGGAAGTGGTAAAATATTTATAATACCAAATACTAATATTTGTCATTCCCTGTGGCCGCTAAATTTCTAAGGCTGAGTAAATGTGCTTTTACAGGAGCACAGTACATTCCCAGGCATGAGATTCAGAAGCTAGACAAATGTGCTGCTACGCTTCTGATGGGATGCAGTAGTGGTTCATTGACCTTGCATGGCCAATATGCGCCGCAAGGGGTTCCCCTGTCATATCTGCTGGCTGGTTCTCCAGCCATCGTTGCCAATCTGTGGGAAGTGACAGACAAGGATATAGATCGATTTGGTAAATCTATGCTTGATGCCTGGTTGAAAGAAAGATCAAATATCCCAACCAAGTGCTTGCAATGCAACTTATTGGCCGAAGAATTTGAGGTCATGAACTTGAAGGGGTGCAGGGGTAGAGCAAAGAGGAAGGCTCCCCGGAAGAAATTACTAGAGTTGGCTGAGAGTGATCCACCTAAGAACTGTGGTCACAGACGTAAAATTGGAGCTTTCATGGGTCAGGCGCGTGAGGTTTGCACTCTTCCTTTCTTGACAGGGGCGTCTCCCGTATGTTATGGTGTTCCCACTGGTATTTGGAAGAAAAGCAATATTTAGCGTATCCAACCCACGACAGCGCCTCCCCGATCACTGTTGGTGTAGTGTTGCAGTCATGTACGCTACGCGCCTTGATCCCATTTTGCCTAGTCAAAAGTAACATCTGTTTACTAAGCATTGATTTAAATTATTTTTTCTTGACCCCTGCATTGGGGGCATGCAAACTGAGACTCCATTCTCTCCCGAGAAGGGAGATTGAATCTCGTCGCACACCTTTAGTAATTGAGCCCTGCGCATGGGCTGTCCATTATTTTGATGAAAGGACTTCTGTGTAAGCTTTCTTGTACGGATCAAGACAAAGGGAATCACGATAGTTCCGCACAAGGGGTGACAAGTCTACAACCCTTGTCACGAGAAGAGCAAAGGAGGAAAACAGCGATGTGTTGGTATTCCTTTTTTTTTTTCCATAAGAAAATATCTCAACTTGTATATAGATGTATAAATTGATATTAAACTTAATAATATACACATGGACTTTTAATTCGACATCTTATTTGTTGCATTCAATTTTAGTTTACGCCTTCTAAATATATGTAAATAGTAGTAGCTAGTTATAAATAGACATACAAGCGCAGCTGCATTGCGATGTCTAATTACTACATAGATATTAAACAGCTAGTGTATTTTTACGTGGGCAACGTAATTTAGCGTTTTGTTTTAACTTATGCCATGTTATTAAAAGTATGTTATGGAAGTTAGAGGGAAAGAAATATTTGTTTTTTCTGTTTTAACAGATAAATTTCGAGTGTAAGAATACTTTAATATGTTATAATTTTAAAAAAAATTAATAATACATAATAAGGAATCATTAATTTAATTTTTATATATAATCAATCTTTTTAAAGGTCTTATTATAAGTCACTTTTAAGAATAATATTTAATAAAATTAAATATTTCATTAATATTTGATACTTAAAAGAGAATATTATTCTACTGAAATTAAATTGTCCGTAGTATCGCAATTCCTATCTATTTTTTTCATGTTAGATTCTACATATGGTTAGTAACATCTCAAATAATTTTTTAGATAAACATGAAATGACACCAAACTATTCAAATATCATGTATCACAGTTGGAGACACTGCAATACAAAAAAAAAAGATGCAATATATTCTCATTTTCAATATCACATAACCCATAAGCTTTTGAAGAAATTGAAACTGCATTAAGCAATAGATATCAAACGAATACTATTACCTCTATGAACACATTGACCTTCCAAATAATGAGTAAAGGCCTCAATAAAGAAATGACAAATGTAACGAAAAGTAAATTGTATATTATATTTATTATCTTTGTCAGACGAGAACGAAATATTTATATAAAAATTAAAACTTAAATATTAAATGTAGATATTAATTTATAAATAAGTGCCTATTACAAAAATTAAATGCGTATTCTAAAAAATAAAATAAAAACAAATTACAGCTTGTTTAGAAAAAATAAATACGTTATTAAATAAAAAAAATTTACAAAATTTTAAGAGACTAAAAACTTATATTTTATAACAAACTTATACAATGTATTTTTTTAGTTTCAAATTTTGTATATTTTTCTTTTTTAGAATTTTTTTAAAATATTCTATAAAAATTTATATACAATAAAAATTTTAACATTAGAACTTTATCTATTCATTTAAAGGTAAAATAAAAGATAAAAATAAAAAATATTAATTTCAACTCTTAAAAATAAGTTTAAATAAATTTGTAATAAAATTTTATTGAAATGAAAACATTTATTTACATTTTTTATAAATTTAATATAATTCATGTATTTTTTAAAATAAAAATTTCTTATTTTTAAATGCTTAAACTCAACTCAAATGACTGAACTTAACTTTTTCTTATAAATAAAGTAATTTTTTTATTAATTAATAATCAAGTGTGATTTGAATATAAAATTAACAAAATTAAACTCTAAAAAATTAATTTTTTTATTTTATATGTTTATATTTTATTGTACATTTAAATAAATGAGTATAATAGCAATATTAATATTTTGATTATAATTTTTATTGTATATCAAAATTTAAAAAATATTTAAAATATATTTTTATAAGAAAATTTAATATCTTTAGAATATGAAATCACACTAAATATAATGACTTATTTTTTTAATGTTTTTTAAAAATAATTATCAAAGTAGAAAATTTTGAAACTATTTTTTATATATATATATATATTTTTTGCAATGTTACTACTAGTTTTGCACTTTAGGTGCAAAACTTTTTATTTTTATTATTTCTTAATAAAGTTTTGCAACTTATTTTCTTTTTTATCTCACATAGGGAACTAATTTCAATTTTGTTTTGTTTTGATAATTATATTTTTAGAAAAATAAAAAATAATAAGTCAAATATAAGTTTGGCTTTAACTTTAGCCTATTTTATATTTTAAAAAGTTCAAATTATTTTTTTACAAAAATATACTATACGCATTATCTTCTATGGTGTTAAATTTCAAATTCAAGATAAAAGTAGTACGGAAATGTGTCTATCTTTTATTACTTCAAAATGTATCACAATTATTAAAATTTAATTATGAGTATAATGTTATCTATTTTACTTTATAGTTAATTTGTATTCAGAGGATTTTATTTTCCAAACCATGTTAAAATAGAAAAATTAAACCCATAGATTTGAGCGTGTCATTGTGGTGAGTGAGACGAGGAAGGAGGGGCAAAACTGCGAAATGGCAATCACTTTTGGCCCGTTGAAGAGCGGGAAACCGAAAAGAAAAAGAAACGAGCAAATAGTAATTCACATACACACTGACTGAAAGCACACTCACAAGCCACAAATTCAAATTGGAAGCGATTGGGCGGAGATGAGACCCAACGCGCGTCGGCAACCGAAAGACTCCTTCATCCTTCCGCCGCCACCCACTCCCGTGGAATTCCAGCACCGCCAGTTCCACTCCCGCGACTCCGACGCCAGTTTCGCCAGCAGCCGCCCTTCCTCCGTGGGCATCGGCGGCCGCCCCACCTTCGACCTCTACAAAGACCGTTCGTTCCAGCAATCAGCCGTCTCCACTATCAACTCCTTCCTCTCCTCACACAACTTCCCCATCTCTTTCAAATCAACGGTCGCTTCCGCCAAAGACATCCACGAAACCCTTAAATTCCTCCTCTCCCTCATCGAATTCCCCACCTCGAAGTTCGAAGACGAACTCCCTCTCCTCCTCAAACGCCTTTCTTACCCTTTCAAAATCAACAAATCGATCCTCAAATCCCCCGCAGCCCCTCACCAATGGCCCTCAGTCCTCGCCCTCATCCACTGGCTCGTTCAGATCTCCAAGTTCCATCTTCACCTCTCTTCCTCCCCCAAACACCACAACGCTCTCTACCAATACACCCTCAACAGCTACATGAACTTCATCCGCGGCGACGACGACGCCGTTGACGAACTCGACCGCAACATTAGGGACAAGATCCAGCACGAGAAGGCCATCGCTGAGGACAAACTCAACGCCGCTAAGCAGAATGCCGCTGATTTGGAGGCCGAGTTGGAGCGTCTCCGCTCGGCACCTTCTCAGAAGGAGGTTCTTGAGAAGGAGAAGAAAGTGCTGGAAGACGACGTGAAGAAGTTCCACAAGATCATCGAGGAGTTTACGTCGCGAAACGAGCAGGCGGAGAAGGTTCTGGCGGAGAAGGAGAAGCAGTTGGAGGCGAAGGAGGTGGAGAAGGAGAAGATTTGCGAGGAGAATGAGGAACTGAAGAAGCGGGTGGAGCTTCAGACATTTAATGCGAGGGACGTGGAGAGGATGAGGAGAGAGTTGCAAGCTGTGGAGAGGGATACTGCGGAGGCTGAGCTTGCTAGGAATACCTGGGAGGAGAAGTCCTGGGATCTTGACACCACTCTCTCCCACAAAATCAAGGATCTCGAAGCTCTTGCTTTGGATTGCAACCAGGCCCTTAAGAGGTATCGCCAATCACCAATTGAGTGTGCCACATATTTGTCTGTTGATTTGATTGTTATAATGAAGTAAATTCTGCTGGTAATGTCATGTGAATTAGATATTGTGGTGTCTCTTGAATTGATTCTGATATTAATGTGTGTAATTTTGTCTCTCTCATGGGCACATTTTTTTCTTTGTGGTTCTTCTAGGCTGAAGATTGGTAATGGAATTCAGTATCAGTTGAATCCCAAGGGAACTACGCCTGCTGAGATAATAGGTTTTGATCACAAACTCATATTGAAGCCCGCACTTGACTCCTTTGCCGATGACATCAAGAAAAGTTCTATGGAAAAATTGGAGGAGTCAATTTCATATCAGCAAAAGTCCAGCGAAAATGCTGCGAGGCTTGAGGGGAAGAGAAATCAGCTTGCAGCAGTGCAATCACGCATCGATGAAGTAAGTGCATTCTCATGTTTAGGTGTTAACACTATTACTATGTTTGTAGCGATGCCTACTATACAGTGTGCAAATCTTGATTTCAACTTTTTGTTGTGTAAGTGGAAATTTGGGGTTGGGTAGATGACTGGCCGGGCCAAGATAGTAAGGAATTTGATGTACGGAGAGAGTGAATTCTTCATGTACTGGTAAGTTAAAATATTAGTTAGGGCTATAAGTGGGGCCAAAGGTGATGCCAAAATGTGAGAGCTGGTGCAGAGGCACCTCGGTTGCATTGATGCCTTTGTTTTCTATTTTGTAACTTGCACAGTCCAATTTATTTATTGTTTTTAGGTAGCAGTCACTTGTCGTACTTTGTTTTTTGTAATTGAAATCACTCTACATACTTCTGCTGTGTCCCTAGTATTGGAGATACAAATGATCTTTGCCTTGTGGGAACTACTGTTTGACTTTCTTTTCCGCTGCTTGTTGATTTATCCACCAGATGGAAGCTCAAATGAACATGATAAAGATGGAAACACAGGAGTACACAAACAGATGTTCTGCTGAAGCTCAGAAAGTGTTGGAGGATGTCCAGCAGGCAGATCATGACCTGGACGTTATGGAAAGAGAGGCAGCTGAGGTTCTCAAGGTAATTCCTATGTTATAAAATTAAATCAATTGAATTTGAAATGCTAAGAATTATTCAAGGTATGGGGCATCTATCTATTTTTTGTGTTGCAATAAATTTAGAGGCAGGCATATTTCACGTTAAACTCCACATTGATAGCCCTATTGCCTACAGAATTAATACTTCCCTAAAATGCTACCCATTTCTCTTTTTGTGTTTCGATTTTTATTTTTTTTTGTTGGGATCCTATTACATGCACTGCATAAGTGAGCGCTTGTTTGCGAGTATTTTAAGTGCATAATAATTGCTGTCTGTAGCCCTATTTTTTGCTGCTTCTGTGTATGTTTTGCTTAGTTCATGTTTATGGTCTTTGTACGAGTGTTTGTGAGAAAGTGCGTCAGTACTTTCTTCGCTTGCAACTGAATTGAACCCAGTCCTTTTGAGAATAAGCTTTGGCATTTTTGGTATTCAACAGTTAAACTAGGAAGAAGAAAAACACACAAAATGTTAAGTACATATATCAATTTCAAATATGTAAATATGCGGCAGATAAATGTATGTACAAGTAGAAAGTATAAAATAATTGTAAACAGTATGTGTGCGCGTCGTTGTTGGAGCTGATTCCAGGGCCATCACTCATCAGGCAAACTAACTGTCAGCTTAGTAACCGGGCATAATTCAACATGAAATTTGTACTTTTCTCTGCTGATTGCTGAATGGGCACAATTATAAAGTAAACACATTTAATTGAAGACATAAATGAGTTCTTTCCTTTCTCTGGTGACAGGTATCCTAGGGTTAAAAAAATTAATCTGATTTATGTGATAATATTGTATCTAATAAACTTCCTTTTTTGTCAAGACCTCCGAATTGAAGTTGCAGGAAACGATTATACAAAGTGAAGAAGAAATTCAAGTGCGTGCTCGTGAACTCTTTCAGTTGATTGATTCAGTCTCGAAGTATAAAGAACACGTGGGGTCCAAAATTTCAGAAATGAGGAGGGACCTGTCGGAAACTGCAGCTGCTGTCGCAGATGCATATAGGGGTTCTTTCCCAGTTCAATTTGGTAATCCATAGTCCATATTTATAGTAAATTTGTTTAGTCCAGTGCAAGGTGACAATTTGTTCCCCTTTTTCTCTGCCTGTGGTATTGTCGTTATTACTGTACAAATGATGGTTGTATCTTGGAGAACATGGACTCTACCTACTTACCTAATATACTCAATGCCACTCGCCAACGTGAGAATACTAATTTAGTAAAGCATTGTGCAATGTGTATTATGATAGGAACTTTGGAGATTGAGATACTGATATTAAAGGAAGAGAGAGAGAGAGAGTATTGTCATTGACGAATTTGAAATGTGCTCCTTGTAGTTCGGGAAATTTAGATAGAAAACAAAATTCTTATTCATAAAAAGATTTTAATTAAAAACATTTTTAGGTGGAAATGTTATGCTGATATTTTCGACGAATTGATAGAAAGTATATGAAAACTCAAATTGACAAACTGTCACAGCTTCCTTCAACGAAAATAGTGCAATTGTTGCTCTAGTTGAAGAGAAAGTCCAAAAAATAAATACAACAAAGATTGCTTTAACCCGTCAGCTATCTACATGTCGAAGGGGGAATTTATGTGACTATGAGCACTGAGCACTGGCAACTAGCCCGGCTGCACGAGGCTGCAAAATGTCCACAAGAAAATAATGTCAACATGAGTTCCGTAGATTCAGTGAGCGTAAAGCCAGATAATGCAATAGCTTGGCAAAAAGAACTTCAAAAAGGTTGCAGTAAAAGCAATATGACCCGAAGAACCATTAATTTCAGCTCAAAATGACCATAGCACTCTCCTGGGGTGTTTATACTGGCATAAGAACCTCTGTTGGAAATGCAGAGGCCCATCTCGTTATTGAGAGATCAATAACCAAGCCAACTTTACATTGCAAGGTCCCACTCCAGTAGATATCTGTCGATCCTCCATTGATCTTTTCCTGTATATTACACCAGTCTAAACCCGAGATCCTTATAAACAGTCAAAAACATGGATGGATTTGACCTTCCCCGTGGAAATATTGAAGATGATTGAGAGTTCTTAAGACAGTAAAATATTAACACTTGGGGAAATAGGACTTATGGGAGATAGAAGTGTTCTCTTTATAAATGGATGATCCAATAGCTGAGTAGCAGTAGGCCGTTTGTTTGGGTTTACTTGTAAGCATTTAAGAATAAAATCTCGGGCATCTTTTGACAAAGATTCTGGAACAGGTGGAGGCTGTCCCCTGCCAATTCGAAATAACGCTTGCATCTATTGTCCAAAAGAAAAAACAAAATCAATTTACTCGGTTATCTAATTTCACAGGCAAGAACAGTCCATTCAAATTAAGGGAAATATAAAAATCAAGGTAAAGAAAATATTATATTTAGAAATGTCAGACATACTCCTTCCAGATCAGAGTAAGGAGGTTGTCGTGTCAACATCTCCAAAACAGTACATCCTAAGCTCCATATATCAGCTGCTAGTCCATAGCCACGATTTCTCAAGTTAACAACCTACGATCCAACGCTTCAAAGTTAATATAGGCGCATTAAGAAATTACAAATGATTTCTTTAAACCATTGTGGTGTTATTTGTCCATTTTGCTTGTCTTTCGTTATGTACGTGTTGTTACATATGGATGGAATGAGAAATGGAAAGGGCAGCTAACATAATTCAAAAATATCCCTCTTCTCAGTTCTCTCTTAATTTCTGGAGGCAACTTTCTTGTCCTCAAATTCAAGAAAAACTTGTTTTTACCGTTACACTTATCAGAGAACATTTGTTATATGTGCTATAAAATGAATTAGAAAGCCATATGATCCATCTCATTCTAATTCGTCTAGTTAAAGGAATTATGTCAGTCAAGCATATGCCACAAGATGAAAGGCAAACCTCGGGGGCCATCCAGTATGGGGAGCCTTTGCTTGATTTAACATCATTCAATTTAGTTGCCTGCAAAGGAAAAAAGAATCAACAGTATTATTTTAATCGGTTAGCATTTGGAATTGCAATGATAAGATGCTGATTTAAGACGGTTTATTTTGCTGAAGGTACCTTTGCCAACCCAAAATCTGCAAGCTTGACGGACCCATTTGCATCAACCAATATATTGGCGCACTTGATGTCCCTTAAAATTGAAATTTTGGACGAATTAAAAATTAGAATGTAGCAAGTACATGTAATTTCGAGATATTTCAGCCATCAATTTCATCCAACTTCGATTATTAAGTGTTTTACATCAACATAGAAAGCCGGTATTTGCTTGCTTAAAATAGTCTCCTCAGAATATATAAAAGAAGGAATCGAAATCCAAAATGAACTAATGAAATGTATTTTTCTTAACCCGTTACCATAAACAATGTAATATCATTAACAGAGCTAGTAGACTTTCTGGCCTAAATAAGATTGCTGTTATTACAGGTATATAATCATAGCATTTTGTCAGGATAAAAAAATTCACTCATGTTACCTATGAACCACATTACGATCATGAAGATACTTCAAGCCACTTAAAATCTGCCTTGTGTATGCAGAAACTTGAGAATCCCTTAAGCGATACTTTTGATAAAGACTTGCCAATGATCCTTTTGTTACAAGCTCAAGGAAGATATATAGCTTATCATTATCCTGAGAAATAATAAGAAATAATATGATGTAAACATAAATAACAAAATGCTTATTTTAATTGCCTCATTCCAGAAAATGTAATTATTCTTAGTAAGGGAAAAGAAAAGACTTGCAAACAATACAACAGCATACCTTGTCTGTGCCAAGATATCGAACTATGTTCTCGTGTTGGAACTGACTCAAAAGAGATATTTCCTGAACGGAAGACGAAAAGGGTAAAGTATTTATAGTAGTCAAATGCGTCCGTATAAGGTTGAACAAACAGATAATGGGATAAAGAATATTTTTCATGGTTTGATGAGAAAATAAATTAATTTACAAAGTTAGATGGAAAAGAGTAAGTCCTCTCACCTGCTGAAGTTGGAAAATGCTTTGTTTGCCCTGGCTTCCATCATCCAGCAAAGACACCTCCTTTACAGCAAAAAAGATCCCATCACTGCAGTAAAAGAAAGAAAATGTGTGTCTAAGAAAACAAGTTATATGATATAAAATAATTGGGCTCCTCTGTTATATCAACTGGGGGTGAAGCAGATTTCATAACTATTCTGTTACAGATAAAATTCCCAATCACAGCTGCTAGTGCTTACATATCAGCAGCAAGATTTCATTGGCCGGATAAGTCAAGTTTCAATTGTGTGTCTCTATGAGACCAAGTCTTATAAATGATAAGATATTATCAAACTAGTACTGTAGTACACATCTTGGATATTATGATTCCACTTTCTGAACAAAGTTTCAGTTTTATAGACAAGTAAATCACACACGCACGTCCTGTAATTTATCTAAGTGCCACATTGCAAGAGTTAGAGAAGGTTTTTCTCTCGAACAATGAGTTAGATGAGCTACAAGGAATTATTATCCCATGAGTCTTGATGAGTGTCTTTTTCCTTTTGGTCACTGTCTAGGGTGATCGTCTAAGCGTACGGCTTATAACTGTGTCATTTCGGACCAGTTTGACCCAGTTTGAGGTTGGATTGGATTGGGCCAATTAAACTGTGATGTGATTGGATAATTTGTTAGTTTAGGGTATGATTCACTGAACAAGCTGACTCATCGGCCTTTTAAAGAAAGTTTATAAGATTATCAAATTGCTATTATATTTTAGAACTACTATGCTCTTACATTATTAACATATTATATATTAATATTTGATGTTTAATATATTTAGCTTGATAAACTCATAATATTCTCTATTTCTTTTTTTAAATACATTGGTCTAATTTAATATAAAAAAATGTCTAAAGTAGTAAGGTCTTGCAAATTAGTGAATTAAGGATAATATTTAAGGAATCAATAAATAATAAATTTCATTTGTAAAACATGTTTGAAAGCATTAGAAATTCAGGAGTAAACGCTATTTATGTTTTTAAGTAAAAAAACATTATTTTAAATTTCTTAACCAGTGCGATAAATCAAGATAGCTAGCATTTTCCAATTAGTAAAGATCTAAATAATTTTAAATAAATGAGAAAATCAGGCCAATAAATTGGCGCGCCTTATGAGCTTTTAGTCAATTTTTAAGTTTCTTGAAATTTATGAGACTAAATTATTAGAATCCAACCACTGTATATATAAACCTAAAAACATGTTAAATAGTACGAATCTGTCCTCTAAGACGGCTTAAAAGTGAGAGAATTTTGATAGCTTTTGTACAAAAACTTGTGTACCAACTCGGTTTATACAGTGAAACAAGAAAATTGCATTTTTTTTTTCCATTTTTACATACAGTACGGTCCATTTATTCCAGCGTGAAAAACGAAGAATATTCGCATTTGCTACATGTTTCGGCCTTAAACCATTAAAAACTAAGATACGATAAAACGAAAGAAAAAAAACTCTGTAGTAGTAATGAAAGAGAAGGGATACTGACTCGGTGAAACCTTCATAGACAGTTCCAAATGATCCCTTTCCTAAGATCTCGCCCTTTTGCCACGACACGAAAGACCCGTTTGGCGAAACGTTATGATCATGAATAGACTCTTCAACCAGAGAAGAAGCAGTGTTTTCAGTATCAGTTTCAACACCAACTTCACTCTCATCATCGGAAACCAAATCCTCCCTTCGCGTTTCATCAACAACGAGCGTGCGCAGCATCACCGGCGGTGGCCGAACACCATTGATCCCACCCTGGCCCAGGCCCAAACCCATTGGAGATACTGAGCGAGACTTTTGGGCCTGTTCCCATGCTGCAGCTGGGATGGCAAAGTCTTCGGGCCCAGAGAGGCCCAGACTGCGAAATATGTGGTCGAATTCCCCGTCGATTCCTTTCACGCGGAAGCTCCTTTGGTTCTGAAGTAGCAAAGAAGCTGTGTCGGCGTTCTCTTCCTCCGCGTTCAATTGATAATTGATGTTTTTCATGGCGTTTCGCCGCTCAAGCCGTGGCTTCAACCGCTTGGGCTCAGCCTCCATTCTCAGAGACTCTTTCTTTCTTCTTTACTCGGTCTCAATCCAAATCATATAGAGAGAGACGGCACACACCACACCACTCTCTACGTTCCTATTTCTTTTTCTATACTTTATTGATAATCAGTTATGTAACCAAAGATAAGACCAAAAATAAGACTCGTTTGCCACGTGGCATTAAGCGCGGATTACAAGACACCACTACCACTACCAAAAATAAATCAATATTTTTATAGTTCTTAATAAGAAATTATTATTTATTAATTTTGAACTTGTAATGTGTAAACATACTCTGAAATTTTAGTTGTGTGAGTGGATAAAAGTGCCCTTCATAAATCTGTTAAGTTAAACGTGAGTTAACCTTTGACTGAATCAATGAATGGATAATCAAGGTGTTCGAATGCCACCTAAATTTAATATTTATTGTACTATTAACATTAACTCCTGTTTATAATTGTAGTTAATAAATTTAATTTTAGTCTTTTAACTTTTTTTATTAATTTTTCATAAATTTTTAGAAACATTTTATATTATTATTTTATAAGAATATGGCAATGCATCTATGTTACATTAACAATCATTAAAAGTCCCCAAAAAAATGTTCAGCAGAGGAAAAACTTTGCATTTTGTCCATTGAAAGATAGTACTTAATCGCCGGAATAAATAGAGCTGATAGAAATAAAATCACGTTTGAATAGCTTAACTAGTAAAATAATGTATAAGCATGAATACGAAGCGGCGCTCTAGCTTTGAATTGAACGATTCTTATTTTTAATGTTATACCAACTTGTTATTTTAAACGCCAAGGTTCACCCAACATTAAGAGTGAGCAGGTATATGTTTTAATCAAGGTGTATTTATTGGCTCGTGTTTTTCGTAACCCATAATTAGAGAATTAATATACTATCTTCAAGTTGTTATGTTTCACAATAACACGCACTATTGAGTAAAGAAGGCTCACCTTAACACGCATGCAGACCAGTTTCAAATAGACTACCAACCGTCAAGCAAAAATTAATCTGATTAATTAAAAGTTACGAATGGTATTAGCTTAGCCAAGTATTTAATTTTGAACAACAGTTGGTGCCTTCCCCATTTTCACTCTGTAAATGCATTTCAGTTGTTGGCAGTATAATTTGTATATGTTGGGATCCAGAACATATAAATATTAAATAGCAGTAATACTCGTAGTAATTTGGAAGTTTTGTCCATTGTTTTTTTACTCTTGTCCGGGGAGAAAATAATTGAAGGGATAAACATTGGGAATGACCCTGCTGATTTAACTAACATGTCCATGCTAATAATAACATAAAAAAGAAAGAGAGGTTTTTTTTGTCAATCAAACATGGGTAGTCCTCAACATTTTTCTTTTTCTTGGGGTGCAGAAGCCTGTTTGATGAGTGGGTAAGGCTCTTTTTGGTTCCAAGTGACCCAGGATTTATTGTTGCTTAATTCAGTACAAAGCCCCTCAATAGTAGTGACAAAAAAAGAGAACCTGTTAGTAGTTTATTTCTGAGTTATTTCATTTCTTGGGGCCCGTAGTATTCTCACCTTTGGTACCAAACAGCCCACTTTTATTTCTGAGTTACTTTTTGTGGTTTATATTTTGTAAAGATAAATGATCTTTTAATTCTTATACAAAATTCTTTTTAATAATTTAATTTTTATTGATAAAAATATTGTATATCAGTTCTTAAATAAAAATTTATTTTTATCTTTTCTATGACAAATAAATATTTAATATGTTAGGTTTAAATTGTATTTTGATCTCTATATAAGATTTTTCTTTAAATTCATATAAAAATCATAATGAGAAAACTTCGCGTCTTGATTTATTTTTACATAAGCATCACTGTTAATATTTTCATATCAAATATCACTACTTATCAACTCTATCATGCTCTCATAATAATCTTCATTTATTGTCTTATTATCCTTATCTTAATGTACTATTTTTTTTAAGATAGTAAATTTATAGTTGCATAATAAATAAAAATGATGATAGTAATTATTTCAAGTGATTGTAATTTTCTTACAAATTTACTAAAGATAGAGAAAAAAAGTTTTTAACTTTAGACTCAACTCAAAGGAATATGACTGAAATTTGAAATATTGATGTGACGATGATAGGAGAAACAATGGAGATTATGATGAAACATACAAGAAATGTTACTCAAGATGAAAATGTTGGAAGTGATGCTCATATAAAGATAAAAGACTTGAAACTAGACATGAACAAGTATGACATAAAATGAGGTTTATTTGAAGAATCAATAATAATCCTCTAAAGATGATAAGAAAATATCATTTTTTACTAATAAAAAATCATCACCATAATGCTAGAGATAAAATTTAAAAAAATTATATAGAAACTAATATACAGATTTTGTTACCATAGGGACTACACTAAAAAAAAGGTCTTGTATAAAAACTAAAATACAATTTAAACATGTTACGTTAGATAGTTGTTTGTCACATAGGAGAGAAAATTAACATTGCTATATAACGTAATGGCGGACACAAAATTAAAAATAAATTTTTATATAGAGATTGATATACAATTTTTTCACCTATAAAAATTAAATTACAAAAAGAAGTCATGTATAAAGACTAAAAGATTACTTTTTTTTTATTTGCTACTTTTTTTAATTTATTTTTCATAAACATTCTTATTAATATTTAGGTTAAATCTATTTAAGTTAATATAGCAATAATCATAACACTTGGTAGGTAGTTATTTTAATTTAACATGTGATCTTAAGTTTGAATATTAATAAATGCAAATGTGTTAAAATAATTAGAGAGTTTTGTTGTCAATAGTAATCCTATCAGATTCAAATATGATTGCTTTTAATGGAGAATATTTGTGGTCTAAACAAAAAAAATATAGTAATAACCATTTTATTACTTATACAAATGAATCAACCTTGTTATAGCGACTTCATCTTTTTTACTTTATCTATCAATCAGTAAAGTTGGCATAATCATATATAGGATAAATTATTTTATTAATCTTTTTTTGGTGAATCTTTATTTATTTCTTATTCCATATTATCATGATAAAAAAGGAATAAAAATGTGAATTGTAGCGACTACCACGAGTAGTATCTTATTTAACGTGTAATATAATATCATAAGTATTGTCATTTAAGTTTTTATCCGCAAGTTCTTGGACTATGATGTGATCTTTTTGTTTAAAGTAAAAAAAAAGTAAGTCATACAACTTACTTGACCTGATTTACGCACAATATTTTCAATATAAGGAATAAAAAGAAATTAAATTTTATCACATACATCAAGGGACACAAGGTCACATTATCAAAACTTGGTTCTTTATACATATGATAAATAGTAAATTGTATATGTAAATATAACATTCTTCTTTTGTCATAATATAATCATGAAACTATATTTTATTCACACATGTGAAATGTTCATATTGACAAGTATCACCTCAATGATTGGGTTGAACTAAAAATGTCATTCTCACCTTAATTATTTTTAAATAATTATTTTTGAGTAAAATTATTTTTCGCAAGTTAAAAAGGGATAATCATAAAAATTTCATTTCAATAACTTCAAGCAATTGTTTCTATAAAATATTTTAAAATAAGGATAGATTATAAGTTTGAATCAAATCATTGTTACAGGACTTAATTAATAAATCATAATTTAAAAAGAATAATTTCTTAAGTCCTGTAGTTTCATCCATCCCTTTCACTAAGCCTGATGCTGATCATCTTGGTCATCTGAAAAATAAATATAAGGGTGAGTACTTTATACTATCACACATAAGCATAGAGACTCACCTCACACATTTCACCCATTTATGAATATAATTCAAATCATGCATCAAACAAACATAAAGTAATACTTTTTAATATTTCACTCCAATTCACATACAAGTGCACTTACTGCACTATCAAACAATCCACATATAACACCCACATGAGCTTATTGGATGTTAACCACACTCATTGTGATGCTGTGATCACAGTTTTTTGATGCCCTCAACCTCATAGATTTACTCAGTTTTACACCATAGATGGTCGCTGGTTAACCCCCGTCTCACGTATACAACATGAGCGGTCACAGACCCTTAAGCAAAGGTGTTAGATAGAGGCTGAGTCAGGAGGAGAGTGTGTAACCTGTGGTGCACCTACACTCACTGTTAGTGTCACCACAACCCTCTTTTTACCAAAGTATTTTTACTGTCTCATCTTCCACACCCCCAGTATATCGCTGTAACCATTTATAACTTTCAACATTTCACAATCAAATTCACATTTACATTTTTCATGCTATTTCCACACACATTTGTTCACATTCTCAATCATATCATGGTATTTATGACATGCACACACATATTCAGTCACATTATATTCAAACCACCAATTTCTATCACAATCCTATTACAATAAAGTCATTCCATTACACACAACATCCAATATCCATTGCATTATGATTACCACAAATTTTTATCACTCCACACATTTTCCTACGTTCTATGTCAACTACATTGCAACACATAGCAAAATAAATAGATTTTAAGTACAATGAAATAAGGTAGAGTCCCTCCTTACCTCAATTGAAGACCCAACACAATATCAACAATGGAATTGCTCCTCACACGAATTTTTATCCTAAACACATGAAAAACTCCATGAGAAACTGAGAAAAGAAGGAAGAAAGACAAAAACCAAAACCCTAGTTCATAAAACTTACCTCCAAACATTCTAAACGTGAGTCTAACTTTCAATCTAATGCACAAACGACTTTGAGGGTAATTTAATCGGTGAAAAAGGGTTTGGGGTTGAGAGAATCAAAGAAAGGATGAGAATAAAAATGGGAAATGAATTTTTCAAATCCTAAACCCCTCAAATAGGATTCACGATATTCTCGCTACAACGAGACATCTCTCGCTGTAGCGAAAATATCATACCAAAATGCACTTTGATTTCTGTATAATCTCATTATAGCGAGATTGTACCTAAAAAAACACCCTCTATCTGTTGCCCTCTCGCTGTATACGCCACTTGCCGAGTACCTTCTCACTATAACGAGAATATTCTTACAGCATACACTTTGCCTATTTCTCAATCAATTTCAAACACACCCAATTATCAATCCACAATCAACATCCACAATTGTACTTATATATTCATCTACACATATGCACATCATCATACAAACCAAACGCACAATAAGACATTAATCCACATATTTATATTAATAATAAAAAATAGATTACAAAACGCAGGGTGTTACACATTCAACCATGCAAGTGGACTTCAACAATTTAACTTATCTATGATTCAATTATGACAATATGAAGTGTATCAAATCAACTTGTTCCATTCATTTAACTTCATCTAAGAGGTAGAGCACATTTAGTGTGTGATCATCAATTAAATGAGTTTAAATGCACTTACGTATGTGCATTAAAGAAAACTAGTTCTTTTTTTTTTTGTGCATGTTCAACTTCATTCATGATAAAATAAAATGTAAAAGATTAATGAGTGCATAAACTTGGTAATGAGTAAATAATCCCAAATTGTCATGAAAATAATTTAAGTACATGTGAAGATAAAAGCAAAAGTAACAACTATTACAGTGTAGAAAGAAAGAGTACACTACACCCCATCAAAACAAGTAAATACATCCTACCTTTATTACCTTGTTGGCAAGAGTCTAAATATACCATAAAAGAAATAAAGCAAAATTGATCATTACTCCTCTAAAAGGTTCTCCTCTATATCCTTAACATCCATGAGATTCCTCATAATTGATTCATCCTCCCTGGTTAGAGGGGTTGGAAGGTTTTTAACCACTTTATATCATAGGGAGATAGAGACTGACTTCCTAATGGTGGTCTTAAACCTAGGCCCATTGGGACGTTAGGTGACAATATTTTTGGACATTGTTTAAAATATATTGTAAATCCTGATATAGTAAGATAAAGTTTAATTATTATTAATAAAATTTATTGTAAATAATATGAAAAAGTAATTTGCTTGAATAAATTGTTTACAATTATTTAGGAGGAATGAAATTTCTCAATTTATAAAAGTTTTATTTTTGCTCAAAAAGAAAGGAAATATGATAAAGTTGTCTGAAATATGATTTATCTTGGTTAAAGGTTTTTTGAGCTATCTTTTGTCGAAAGATACCCTGGAAAGGGTTGATATTTACTATTTTCTTTTGAAAAATCTTATTTGAGTCAATGGATTTCATGACCTTGATTTCTAGTTGAAATAAATATTTTGACAAAATTTTTGCATAACTCAATCATAATAAGATTTTAATAAAAAAGTGATATTTTGACAATTTTTTTTTTGGACAAAATATGACAAAGAAAAGATGAATTTTTTTAGTAAAAAAAAAGGTAACATTTCAACAAGTTTTCATGCAAATTGATATAGTTAACTCTTGGAGGTTGAAAGTTGCAAGGTCTTGAAATAGATTATAAGTTTGTTGAAAAAGTTTTTTTGGGATATTTTCAAAATACATTACTATTATCAATAATTATGGTCAAGAATAGGTTAAAGAATTTTTTATCAAAAAATTGATTCAAGTTATTTGTGAAGGTAGGGTATCTAAATTAAAAGACTTCAAAGATAATAGATGATTTTGTCAAAAATAATGCTCTTATGTGAAAATATTAATTAAGTTGACATGTTAAAAATATTTATTAGTAATAATAAATTGAGACGTGATAAAATCATGTAAAAGAAATAACAAAATTTAAACATGTATCTTTAAATAGTTACTTTGATATTTTTTTATATTATTTTACAAATGGATCTTTAAACATGACAAAATCATGTAGAAGAAGTAATAAAGTTTAGATATGTATTTCTAAGTAGTTACTTTGATATTTTTTTAGTATTTTTCTATAAACAAGTCTTTAAACATTAAAATAAGAGACTTCCTATGGAAGATACTTGTATTTTATATCATAAAATTTGTCAAATGTTCAATGGACAAATTAGACTTTGATGAAAAGAGTTTTAACAAGTACATTATCTTAATTAAGATATACTTTCTTTTAATTATAATTTATTTAATTATTATTTTTATTTATTTTGATATTTCCTTACCATTTTTTTGTCTTTTTATTTTTTATTTAAATACCACTCATTTATTTTTATTAATATCTTTAAAAACACATTAACAAATAATTCGTTAAAAAAAATCTAAATTTTAATGAAAAATTCACCATAAACAACAATATTTTTTTATTTTTATTGATTATTCTTATAAATTATGTAACTTTTTTTTTACGTCAATATGCAATTATTTTAGAGTGTATAAACCAAATAAAAAAAAATAAAAACTTGTAAATTATACTTTAAAAAATCAGAATTTAACTTATATGTGCGTGGGTGTAGATTTGATCAAACTTTATATAATCAAATCTGATAAAATAAAACCTAGCAGACGTAATTTTTATAATAATAATAATAATAATAAAATTTGGGTGAGAAAAAGGGTTTTTAGGAGGAGTAAATATATTATGAGTGCGAGGGTTTTGTAAAGCAAACAGCAGTGAGTGGTGATACCAATGGGGAGCACGGCGGTGGAGAAGACGGAGGAAGAACTCCGCAACGAGATCGATGAGCTTCTTCGCCAACAGCGCGAGGTTCTCTTTCTCTTTCTTCTCTCTCTCTATGTACATGTGTGTTCGGCTCATTATGGTTGTTAATTCTGTAGATAACTGAGAGGCTTCGAGATCCTCGAGGCCTCCGTAGAGGTGCCTTGTCAGCTCCTGCTCTTCGCAGCAACGGTGTTCGCCAACGACCCTTTCTTCGCCCTGTCAGTAATCCTTCCCCCCCCCCCCCCTCTCTCTCTCTCTCTAGGGTTCACAATCCCAAATTTCAACTTGAATTATCCTATTGATCAGTATAATTTATTATTGTTCAGGGAGACAGGAATGATTCTGAAGATCAACCACCTGCCAAACGTCGACTTTCATCTGCTGTCGTTAAGGTACTATTGCCTGTTCCATATCCTTGTTTTCCTTATCATTGTTTGTTGATAACTGCTGAGAATATCATAAGTGGGTGGTGGTGCTTCTAGATTCAAATCTAGTATGCATTATATGTTAACTCAAAATTTAAACTAGTGGTGTCTTGCCCCGTCCTCTATAATTTCTTTGTCTCTCCCAAATGGGAATATAAGAGCTTTTCTTAACCTCATTTCTGTTTGGGACTGAAGGTGGATGATGGGGAGTTACCTGAAGATGCTGATGCGGGACAGGATGATAAAACAAAGGATTCAGCTGGCGAAGGGGTAAATGGGACTGGTACGGTTGACCAGAGTGATAGGAATCCTTTTACTTCTCACCAAACTGGATGGACTAGAAGAGATAGTAATCAAAGAACTTCAAAGGTGGGAAACACAAATGTATTATTATCTTCTCGATGATTGTTGATTTAAGGTTGTAGTAGTGTATCTAACCCTGTAGTCTGTTATCCATGTCAGGCTCCTGACATTCCTTCTGCGGAACATGTTCCAAGGGTATTGCCAAAGAATGAGGATCCAAGCTTGGTTAATAGGAACAAGCGAATGCTGGGTCAACTTTTGGGAACCCTGGAGGTATGTTGGATTAGTTAGTTGGTTTTTGACATTTTTCTAGTGCTATATTATTAGCTCAATCCAGTATTGCTACTTGTTACTACTACTATTATTTCTATATTTTTATGTGTTCTATTTTGAACTGCTCCAGAAATTCAGAAAGGAAGACATGCAACTCTCAGGAACAGAGGCATATATGAGAAGATCTAATTCTTTGCAAAGAGTAAGTTCAGAAGATGCAGTACCTATAGCTACCCGTGTCTTTAATTATAATACATATGTAAGATGTGCTTTAAAATAATTCAGTCAATCCTCGTTTAAGGTTATGTAGAGTTGTAAAGTATACCTCTATGGATAAATTTAAGCATGGCCGTTATTTTATATTAATATTAATATGATATGATATTTTTATAAATACTTGCTGAAAATTTTTGATGAATGCATTGTGGTGGATATACTCCTTTCACTTGTTCTAGTAGGTAGGTTTTATTATGAAAAAGCTACTAGGACTTCTTGTTAATATGGGGAATATAATACATTTTCATATTTTTCTTAAGCCAACATTTGCATTGATGGCCACATGTCTAAGTGTGATCATATGTATAAATCAATTTTAAACAAAGCATTCTATTCATGTTTCTATTTATTTCCATGCATCTGCTTGAAATTAATGTCATGGGATATTTTCCTTGCCTGTTGCTGATTATGGGGCCTTATTCCAATTTCCCTCCTTAATCCATTGACATTATATAATTTTTCACCCTGCCTATCCATATTGGCTATCAAAGTTGGTGATTAATGTCTGTATATGATATTCAGATGACTGGTGATTGTGATTTTATGTACCAATCAATTGAATGGATGTGTTTTATGCTGTCTAAAGTCCCAAGGAGGCTGATGCAAGTTCTTTTAGTGGCACTGTGATATGTACACCCCACAAAAGGTTTCTGGAATATCATATTCAGTTGTAGTAGATTAGCTTCAGTGCCAGTTTGGTTGGACAAGGTGAAACTTAACACAATAGTGACTAGATTAGGGTGCAATGTGCCATTTTAAAATTGGACTTATGATTATGGGATAATGCAATATCCCCTGTCTGTTGTGATGCTTGAAAGTTCTGATCTGAGCACCTCTCCATGTGATGAACTGAATTTTTCTTTTCCTTTCTCTATCCCCCTCTCTCTCACGCACTCATGTTAACATCCAAAGCTTTATAATAACCTCAAATAACTTGAAACTATTTCCTAGGCTGAGCAAAGGGCACGTGAAGAAAGTGAAAGGCTTAGGAAAGAAGAGCGTGAACAGATTGCTGAAAAACGGAGAAGAGATTTGGTTTGCTTTCAATGATAACTATTCTTTGCTCTATTTGTTAGACCACAAAGTTTCATTTTGATCCTCATTAATGATTATTTATTTTGTTTCCCTATTTTCATCAGACTCTTAGGGCTCGTGTGGCTGCTAAAACAGAAGAAAAGAAATTGGAGCTGCTATTTCTTCGGTGGAGTGAGCATCATAAAAGACTAAGCAATTTTATAAGGTTGGCCTCCTTCAACTGTAAACTTATTAGGCAAGAGTCTCTAGGTAGTCCTTTTGACAACTGGACATCTATTATGTCTGACATCATATCATGCTATCCTCTGCAGGTTATTTTTAATTTTGGTCCAAAAGTGTCCATATTCACATTTTATTGAGACGAAGATAAGTTTCTGTTCATGTGCATTGTAGTGTTGAAGCAACTTGATGACTGGATGTTTCCTGCTAATTGCAGGATTTTAGGTAGACATAAAAAAGTTTTTCTTTAATCTTTTTGGGCTCTTTTTTGATTGAATGTGGCATGTATTTTTGCAGGACTAAAGCAGAGCCCCCAATCTACTATTTGCCTAACAAGCCCTTGGATGAAGATCCTACGTCACTTGAGAAGCGCAAAGAAGAGGTTGTCAAACTTACAACATTTGATTTCTTTTGGTCTTCATCTTATAACATCATTTTGATCACTATCATGGATGTTTATGAGTGCAAGTTTACTAACACACTAGATTCAAGATTATTGGCTTTTAAAATGTATCTTATTTCTTTCGCTCAATGTCCATATCGTAATTTGTAGGCTTTCCTAGAATGGAAGAATGCAAGAAGAGAGGAAGTGTCTGAGTATCAGAAACAAATTGGGGAACAGTATCTTGCCAATGTTGAGAAGGAATTGGAGAGATGGCAGAATGCAAGGAACGCTAGGAAAGTAAACAATGATCAGAATTTACAGGAGACTATGGACAAAGAGTTGGATACTCATAGGCTTGAGCACGGTCCTAAGAAAAGGAAGATCCCTGGTGGAAACAATAATGAAGATGATGATGATGTGGAAGATATAAATGTCGGAGAGGACGACATGATGGATGACGAATTAGACGATGAAGCTGGTAGAAGGATTGATGAAACAACTAAGGCGGAAACAGCTAACACCAGCGCAGATCCCGCAGCTGATACCGATACCGATAATGTGGACCGGACGTGATGGCCCGCTAGTACACAATTTTCAATCATTCTATGAGATATTCATGTTTAGTAGTTAATCGCTTGCTATTGTAGTATTCTAGGCTTATGTATTCGAACTTAATTGCCTTTGTATTTTTCTGTATTCAAATGAACTTTTTTCAATCTTCATTTCATCACTTATTCTCTTTGTATTGCTAACCTCTTGGAAATCAGAGTAATGCACAACATGTTTGTTGGGTTTGTGCCTTTGACGAGCGAACTTAGCTTTCATTTATCCCATTTGCGTGAATTTTCACCCGGCATTTATTTTTCCCGGGAGCAACAAAATAAAATTGGGAATGACATTAAGAGTCGGAGTCGGTGGATACTTAACAAAAACTTGTAACAGATAAGTGTTTTTATCCATGAAAAGAGTTTTGGGTATTTAGCTGGATAATTATATATACATATATATCTGTGGATGAGTATATGTACGTTTGATAACTATAATTTCAAAGATCTTTAATTTTTTCAATGAATTGGATGTGTTTTTAATTTATATTTTTGCAGTTAGTTTTGATTTTGAAATAATATTTGTTTTATTAGTTTGTCAAATATAGATAATTGATGTGGGTGCGAATATTAAATATTTATTGGGTATTACTTTTGGTAAACATATTGGTATAAGCATGTGCATCAGAGGTAATATTCATAAAGACGTGGTACGAGTAAATATAAATATTCATCGAGACTCCATAATTTTGAGTAACTATCGATACTGACAGTGTAATAACTTACTTAAATACTACTTATTAAATGTAGTGGGTACTATGGTCCGGAATTATGTGTAGTGTCCTTTGTTGGAGTTAATAATACTAATTAAACATCCATTATACGCACAAAATTCATCTTCATCTATACCCCCTCATAATATGTAAACCTTTGCCTTAAGAAAGAAGGCATTCATTATTATGCTAACATATAGTACCTTTCCATTCCGACGAAGTGCCGAGCAGTGTTGCTTTATAGAACATAGGAAGGAAAAGAGAACTTTCCAACGAGCAAACATGGAGAAAAAGATTCCAAGGGACTTTTCCAACCATCTGGTTTCCAATAAAGCAAACCAAGCTCTTAACTTCTCGTTTTATAGGTGTTGTTTTATGTTATATTATGTCCTATCATTTTGTATAATCATGTCAATATACCACGGCTACTGCCTTTTGGAGTTTACAATGTCTAGCTTTCGGGACCTATTTCCACTTATCAGTCTTCTTTTGTTGCTAAAATCTTCATGATACACTACTTGAACCAATCTTTAACTCCTTTCTTCATCCCCTTTTGGTTTGCACTTAACAGACTAATTGTTTTCACCCACTCATGTGACACCAGCCTTTAGTACAAATGCATGAACCAACGTAGTGGGATCGATATGGATCCGTCTCTTTTTCTTTTGTTAAATAGATAAGAAAGAACAGCAGAAAAGCTTTTGCCTAAAAGGCGCCACATTTTTTGTTGGATTTTAACAACTCGTCATTTAGTTGGTAGTTTGAACAAGAAAACTCGTCACGTTATAAGAAATACTTGGGGGGTAAAGTGATAATCTTTATTGGAAGTGGGAGAAAAATCCTCAACATCGTAGTACTTCCATTCTAGCTATAAAAATGAGTTCTTTTTCCCCCCTCTTGGTGATAGTCATCTTATATTAAGTTTTAATGTCAAATTATTTTCTTGTTCGCGTGCCATCATCTTTTTTTGGCCATCATCATAATAGAAACTTTCCTCTTTCGATCATTAATAACAGTTATGATTTGGATTCTGCCTAATCTTTCTCTGATCACCATATAAAAAGATGAGGAAGAAAAATTGGTAAAGAATGAATCTCTTCAAGTTATAGTGTTTTCTTAGTGAAAAAGAAAGGTGTGATCAATGTTGGTGTCTACTTCAAAAGTCTTGGCTAGTTGGCATTAATTAATTGAATTATGCGTACCAATGTGACCGACCCACTTGGGATAATCTTGAGCAACGGTCAGATATTTAAGAAATGAAATTATCAAATTGATGTTGAAAGAACCAAGCTAACAAGTACTAAATCATGTTGTACCTCAATCAAAATGGTCATTTCTTCACTTTTTACATGTATAGAAAAATACTTTATTTTGATTTTTAAGTTAATTAAGTTTTTGTCTGAATACGCATGTAAGAGTAACAGTTAAAACGTTACGGTAGAAAATTGTAAATTTTGAATGATATAACCAATGGACTGTATAGGGTGTGAAATATGCTGAACTCAACAGAGAGAAATCGTCAATGAGAGAATTGTTAAGAAACCAAAACATGCTTAATGCGTCTTAGACGAACACACACACACATATGGTTCTCTCGAAAACACATTGAGTAGGTGTAGCGTAAACTAAGGTGTCGAAAAAAACTTTGTATTTTTATGCCCCAAAAAAGCCTTTGTCAAACATTATGAGATGTAGTTTAGGTGAAAGTTCAATAAATATAAAGTTTGGCTCTTTTTGATAAAGTTAGCTCAAAATTATTGATTTATAATACTCAAAATGTAATTAAATATTTTTTTTTCTTTTAATAATGCATGTAATCATGTATTTGTTATCCATACAAAAGTTAGCCGTTGTTCAAGATAAAATTTATTTATCAGTAAATAAATAAATTTAAGTGACGAATCTTGAAATTGAATTTTAAATTCTCTTTACGAATTTTTTAAGTGTGATTTTAATATTTTTCAAATTAAATGTTCATAGGAGAGACACAAATTAAAACAGAATTGATGGAAGAGAAATTTCGAACAATAAAAAAAAGTAATAAAGATTAAAAAACAATTATAATTGAATTAAATTACACAATATAAACATATAACTTTAACAACGATTAACCTAGAAAACTATTAATTTTTTAATAACTGTGTTTAAATCAGTACAGAACTTTAGCGTAAATTAAAAACAATTGTTTATGTAAAAAGTTGTGTACCTAAATAGTTACAAGAAATTCTATTTATAGATATTTTTTCAAACTATCTCCTACACATAAACTTAAATTACAATTGCCTGAAACACGCTCTTTATAACTATTATTACTTAATATTTACGATTTTTGTTACGTGTCTTAATTTTCAGATAATAATAACTGTTAGTAACTGATTGTTAACTACTCTAAATATGATGTTAATTATTCTAAATATTTTTAAATTTTTTGACATAAATATGTAATCTTCTGAATCATCGAACCTAAATTTTTAAAAATACTTTATTTATATTTGAACTAAATCAATTTATAAACAAATTTTTAAGAAATATGTCCAAAAACCTATTTTCAACTAATTTTTGCACTTGAATTTGCATTATAAAATTTTCCAAATCTTCTTGAAATATTAATATTTTTTTATTAAAATTCATATTTTCTTAAACATCCTTATGAAAACTTGTAAAAAAAAAAATCATCCTTTCGACTAAAATCAATTTATTTTTAGGTTTTTGATTAAAAAAACACTTGTTAAAAAGTAAAATTTTATAACCACACCCATTTTAATCAAAATGTCTACTTCAATTAAACAAGTGACAATCTTGTCAAGAAGTATCTAACTGTTTCCTGATGTTTTTTAAACAAAATAAATAAAGCATCTCTAAATCATATAAAAACTTATTTATTTAAACACAATGCCATTATAACTTTGAGAAATTTCAAATACATGGTCATAAGTTTAAAAGGAGAAGAGTGATAGAGTTAGAGATGATATCTGATACAATTTGTTTTTGGATACATTAATTAATAGTATTTTATGAATTAAAATTAATTTTTTCTTTCAACATGTCGAATTATCATAATACCGAATTTGCTCTTTCAAATACGTTCTTGTTCTCTCTTGCTTTCGTTGTTTTTTTTGTCAGAATGTTCTTGTGCGTAGCAGTCCAAGTTTGCGATGCAATCCATTAAAACATTTTAGCCCGCTTTGTTCAACCCATCTTACAAACGAACATGGAGACTAGAGGAATCAGAGCAGAGAGACATGCCTTTTTTTTTTACCATGTATTTCAGATATTCATCAAGCCACCTCACAATGGAACGTCGATTGTTATTTTAAAAATATTTAATAATTTCACAATTCATTATGTATGCATGCTTGTCAAAGATTGTATATAAGATTTTACTCTGCCTTAAATTGTATTATGATGATAATATTATTGCAAGTTACGCAGAAATTGAAATTGAATGTAATGAGACAAATGGTATAACTTTATTTTTGGAAAATTTAATAATTGATTATGAAACAGAAGATCAGTGTTAATTTCAAAAATATATTTTGTGCAAGAACACAAACTTGATATGACAAATATCACAGTGTTGACGAATCTCAACTAAAAGAATACCCAAAAAAATCAACTTTGACAGCAACAAGAATTGGCCAAATGAAGGTAAAGCTAGATTTTTTTCACACCCTTTTTTTTTTTTAACTTTGTTGACGTCTTTTTTATTTTTTTACTGCAACATTTATTAAAAAAAAAAAGTTATCTTCCCTTTTTACTCTTTCTCTACACACACTGCATTGGATGCCACTATTTGGTTAAAGAAAAATCTCCTCCAGTTCCTATCCAATTCATTGTATTTTTAAGATACATTTCTCTCTCTGTATTTTATCAACATTTTAAAGTTTAACATGTTTTTGACAATTTTAAAAAATAAGCATTTTTAAAAATATTCTATAAAAAACTAAGAATATGTAATTAAAATGCTCTTAAGTGGAGTAATAATAAGTTAAAACCATTGCAATCTTAAACACCCTTGTATGAAGGAACATGGTCCCTTAGGTAAACAGAAACATTCAGTTTTTAGTAGTCTTAAATAAATAAATTTAGCATAATTTTGAATAATATTTTATCCTTCCATTTCCTTTGGGAAGCAACACAAGAAGACCCTCCTCGTCAAAAGCCATCTTCACTCTCTCTCTCTCTCTCTCTCTCTTGCCACTCTGATAGCTAGAAATACAGTGACAGACGCAGTGGAAGAAGAACCCCAAGGGAGGCACATCCACAGAGGAGAGAGAGAGAGAGAGAGAATGACCACAAGAGACAACCAGCCGCAGCCAAACGGCGAGAGAAGACAAAGGGCACCGCCAGCGGCACATCCACAGCGACCGGCAGCGACACCACAACCGCCAGCACATTCATCTTCTGTAAACGGTTACAGGCAGTACAACCCAACGACGCCGTCTCGTTCGTCTTCGTCGGCGTCGTTCAAAGGGTGCTGCTGCTGCCTGTTCCTGCTGTTTTCGTTCCTGGCACTGTTGGTGCTAGCGGTGGTGCTAGTGATAATCCTAGCAGTGAAGCCAAAGAAGCCACAGTTCGATCTTCAGCAAGTGGGGGTGCAGTACATGGGCATCACACCCAATCCCCCCTCCACCGCTTCACTATCACTCACCATACGACTTCTCTTCACCGCCGTTAACCCCAACAAGGTTGGGATCAAGTACGGCGAGTCCAGCTTCACCGTCATGTACCGCGGTATTCCCTTGGGGAAGGCCTCGGTTCCCGGGTTCTACCAGGACGCTCACAGCATCAGACAGGTGGTGGCTACCATCGCCGTCGATCGGGTGAATTTGCTTCAGGCGGATGCTGCCGATTTAATCCGAGACGCTTCCCTCAACGACCGCGTCGACCTCAGAGTTCTCGGCGACGTTGGTGCCAAGATCCGCGTCATGAACTTCGATTCCCCTGGTGTTCAGGTATTTTTCTTTTTCAATTCAATTTTATTTTTCTTTTTAATTTATCTGAAGAACAATTTTCCCAATTCAGCTTAGCATAGTTCCGACATTTTGATCATTAATTCATCTTCTTAAGTCGTCTTCTGTAGCTCTAACTGAGAATTCCACTGCCGTCTGTCGCACTCTGCTTTTTCTTTACTTCTTTTTTTTTTTTTTTTCCTTGCTAACGTGTGCTGCCGAGGACATTGCTCGCTGGTACAGTTTCACGTTGTCTTTGATAACGTGCACCGAAAGTTATTTTGTTTTATTATATTTAAGACTTTATTTTTTAGAGGAATTATATCTTGAAGAAACCAATATTTAATTGTACTTTATCCACCCTAAGACGAGCCTACTTAGCCCTCCCTCTCATATGATTCGATGCATTTTCTTCTTCTTTTTTGGGGGGCTTGTGGTGCAGCACTGCTGGATCACATTCATGTATTTTTTTAATACATTTTTTGGGAAATTACTTTTTACTTTTGGTTTATTTGTATTCCTCATGTCCTTGTGTGCCTATAGCGCATCTTTGTGAAAGGAGATTTTTCCATGTGAGGACCGTTTTATAGGCCATTGCGCATTCACATAGAAGATTATATAGATGTATATTTCCCTTTCTAAAATTATTAAATACTTGTAGTTCGTGGAGTGAAATCGAATTCTGGAATCCTCTTTTTTATTTTGCCCCTAATTATGGGCTTCTGTTCAGTGCTTTCTTTTCACGATCTTTCATGCTTTTGTCTGGATGGCATGGTGAGACATTCCAATGGGGTCAGCGTTAATGTGCTAGTAGAATTTTTTTCACCTTGATTGATGGCCTTTCTTTGTACTACAGAGAAGTCCTTAATTTCGAGGTTTCTCATTTTGTTTTAAAATATGTACTTCGGAATTAGGGGTGGAATGGGAATAAAACGGTGGAATTTGGGGTTAGGCTCAACTAAACCCAATAACGAATGATTAGAAAGTGCAAAGAAAATGATAAAATTGCCAGGTCCCACCAGAGTGCAACCGGGTCGCTGTATTCTCAGTCCAGGGTACCAACCACTCCACTATGGTGTCAACACCATTTACTACCAGCTCAAGCTCAATAATGCTCATTCTAATGTTTGTCCTTAGTGCCCTTTTTTTCCCCAAAAAAAAAAAATCACCTATTTCTGGTCAATTCATTTTTTTTTCTTTAAAGAAAGCTTAATGAGGAGGGTTCACTTTTCCTTTTCTTTTTTTTGGGAGATGGGGGGAGTGTTCATCTACGGTGATGCTATTAGATGTCATTTTATTTTACAAATGTCAAACGCTACTTTCATTTTATTTTTCCTTTTGGGCGGAGAAAAGTCTTCAAACCATGTGACTATGTATCCAGTTTGTGGGGGCACATGGGGTGAGAGTGGGATAATCCTTCTGTGTCCACATTCTGCTAGTGTGAACATTTTAATCAGCTAACCCTTCTTTTTTAACTATGGGCAATAAAGCTGTGTTTGGGTGCTCATATAGTTACTCCAATTCCACCCTTTTCGTTATAGAAATTATTTATTCATTATCATTAGCCTGTATTTTACTTTTGTTTAACCATTAGATTAACAGCATGAACTCAACTACACAGGTCTCCGTGGATTGTGCTATAGTGATCAGTCCAAGAAAGCAATCTCTGACTTACAAGCAGTGTGGATTCGATGGATTGAGTGTCTAATGATATCATTCTTGTTGGCGGTATCAATGTCCTTAATTTTCACTCAATTTCTCGCGTGACCCCTCATTTCTTCCACTAATTTAAGGACGAAATGAGGAAGAAAGGAGTGATTTGGGAGGGGTATTTAGAGAGAATTTAGAATGGTTATCGGAGGGGTCACGACAATTTGTTAAACTGCAAAGTCAAGAGAAAGGTTTTGAAAAAGATATCATCAAATTAGGGCATTTAACATTTTCTCAAAAAAATTTGCAGAATTTTTTGAATTGGTTACTTCGCTTGGAAAACAAAAATATGCGGAACAACGTGTAAAGTACATCCAATGAGCGGGTGAGGTATGCTTTTGCTAATTTGCTTGTTCTCTACCCCCTTCCCCCTTTTCAACCTTTTTTTCCTCAGCTTTTTTGCTTTTGGAAAGTGCGTGAGAAGTTTTGCTCATTTGATTGTTGAAATTTCATGTAATATCTGTTATATGGGAATTGTTCCTTTCTTATTTTCGGGCTCTAAAATGTAAAGTGAACATGAAGAGCCCTTACGAGGAAAGAAAATAATTTTCGAGTAACGTTATGTCTTTCATTCGCGGTATATCAGCCTACACATGCATACTATTTCAGTTAATTTGGTTTGAGTTAATTTGGTTTGCACTTGAATAATTACAATTATGAGATACTCATTCTAAATAAATGCGTTCACCCTTAGTAAGTCAGTTTATAACGATTCTTATTTTTAGCTATGGTAGAAAAAGGGTTTCCCATTAAACAAAGAAGTGTAAACTGCTAAGTTAAACATAAAAACATGGATGTGTTACTCTAAGCAAAATAAAGTATTTGATAGTTAAGAAGTGTCATAAAGTTAATAAATAAAAAATCATTTAAAATCATGTTAAGATATTTTTATGAAGTCTCCCGTGAAAGAAAGTGAGAAGCGTAAACTGCCGAGTTGCACACAAAAATATAAATGTATACTCTAAGCAAAACAAAGTATTTGATAAACAGTATCTTAAAATTAAGGAATTGCTAACAAATAAATAAACCTAAATCATTTAATAAGAAATTGACTTACAGTTTTTTTATAACATTTTAACAAGAGTTTTTAATTTAATTTTTTTAACTAATATCTTTAAAATACTAATTAGCATTATAAAATTTCCAATTGACATTGAACAGGGGTCCTTTCATCAAATTTCTCACTATATATATTTGGGAATGTATACTTGTAACAAGTATTGTGGATGTGGGCTCGTTTCGTTCCTTATTCCAAAGCTGTTTACTATATTTATAAACAAGACTTAGACTTATAGAGTATGAGGAGTGGGAAGGGTTTGAATTAATTATCAATTTACTCTAAATATTTTCACAATAAATGATAACTTTAGAAGGAGAAAAAGTCCCAACATGAATAGCCTGGGAGAGGCTAGAACCTTGTTTTCTTAATATTTGCAGTTCCCCACACTCAACCCAGGATCTGAATGCCACGTGGTCATGGATCATGACTAAGTTTAACCTGATACAAGAGAAGCCACATAGCCCAGAAGACCCAATACCTCTCTGGGCTTACCCCCGTGGGCCTCCAATACACGCCCCGAACATTTTGTTGGGCTGTCATTTTCACACACTATGCAACGCACATAAATTGAGTAAGAACGACGTCGTTTACAGACCATAATTGGAGAAGCTGGAGCTGGTTTCTTCTCTCTGTCAGCCGCTCATCTCTAAATCACCAAATCGGATAGAGGTATGGCTTGGCTACAATATGCCACGTTCAGTCGTGAAAAATAACTAATACTGCTATCATCTAACTTATTTATTTTAATGTGGAGGGTAGCTTTTGGTTTCTGTTGTTTGGTTTGGTTGCTGTGGTGGCAGGGATAAGGATTTGATCTGAGAGGAAAGTGAGAAGAGAGAGAGTGATGGATTTCTCGGCGGTGAAAGCAGGCTTGGCATCGAAGTCGTACGATAAAATTGCGGATGTGTGCGACAACCTAATGCTTCAGGTATATTTTTCCTCTTTCCTTAGGGTTTCGTTTTGTGGATGTGCTTGCGCCTGTCACTGCCTCACTTCAATTCATCGATCCTCGCTCAGGTTGCAGCCGAAGGCATTGCTTATCACGACGATTGGCCCTACGCCATTCACCTTCTCTCTCACATTTACGTTCATGACATGTATCTCTCTTCCTTCTCTCCCCTTTTCTCTTTTCACCATCTTGGTACTGAAAAGATTCCAAAATTTCTATTCAAATTGAAAAACTGAACAATTGTTGTAATTTGCAGCAATAGTGCGCGCTTTCTTTGGAAATCAATACCTTCTTCGATCAAGGAAAGCCAGCCTGAAGTCACCGCGGCATGGAAAATTGGACAGAAGCTGTGGTTACGTGACTATGCTGGAGTGCATGAGGCCATTCGTGGTTTTGATTGGAGTCAGGAACTCCAAGGCCTAGTTGCCGCTTTTTCAGGCAAGATTTTAACATTTTTTCTCTCTCTCTCTCTCTTTTTTTCTTTGGGCAGAGATACGTTAGTTCTGTAGAAACTCTTGTATCTTCACTGTAGTTGAGGCATGATTCTATTCATTTATCTTCACTTTGAATATCCTAATAATCTAACTGTGTACGTGGCAATTCTGTTTTGTTTGAGACTGGAGCTGTTATCCTAGACTCTTGTACTTCATCAAAATGTTTCCCTTACTTTTTATTTACATGTTACCCTGTTGCGCGTTGAATAGCCAATATGTTATACTGAAACTAATTCTGTAATTTCTGAGCGGGATAATTGGTAAAGTTTGGATGTATTAACCATTTAATCTGTATCAAGTATTATTGGTTTTATACAGTACTGTATATGATGTTAAGTTAGCCATGTTTGTCATAGCCTCAGTTTGGGTAAACTCAATAATTACTTATAAGATTAAAAAATTAAGTAGTAAAATGAATTGAACTCCTTTCACAAATTAAATTAACTTCTCTATTTTTTGAAAAGTTCTCTCTTTTAACATCTCAAAAATTTGAGGAGATAAGTTGTTTCTAACTTATTAAAGAAGTTTTTATTCATTTTTTATAATACTTTTCTTTTCTTATAAGAACTTCTCTAGAACTTTATTTAACTGGGTCATAGTTTGTCATGGATGAAAGCAGTAGTACTGTATCACCTTAGAATCAGTTTGATAAACAAATTGTATTATAATTTAAACTTGGAAGACCAATAATTAACAATCCATTTTTGGTTGGACTTTCCTTTCCCCATTATATGTAATCCTAAAAAGAATTAGATGAATGGTGTAATTTTTTGGGCCAATGTGTACGTGGAGATAGTGATGCCACAGATATAGCATGAAATTTTAGTAAAATACTACTTTCACAGTAACTTCTGTAATTGTTCAATTAAATATATTTCTTTTGTTTTGGATTGCTTTTCCAAATAGCTCGAGTTCACAAGTCTTTCGTACAGCAAAAGTATTAATACCAATAAACTGTTTCCAGAACTTTACACAAAGGAGATGTTTCAGCTACTTCTCTCGGCTTATTCAACGATAAGCATTAAAGACACTGCTTTATTTCTGGGAATGAATGAGGATGATGCCACAAATTGTAAGTAATTTTATGTTTGTGTTTGAAATAAACATTACATATCTATTTTCTTTAGGCCTCTTCGTTCAGAATCAATATGATTGGTTGATCTGATCTAAATTTTAAACTAATTAAACATCCATAAGTAATCCATGTTAATATTATATGTGGCCTTGATTTTCATATGTTATGAATACGCTAATCTAGATTAATTTTCTTTCTTGGTCCACATCTAGAAACATATAAATGTTATTTTAGCTTTGAATAGGTGATGCATATTAATCCAATGCCCAACTCCTATCCTTTCTTGAGGGCCCTTGGACTAATTAAACTCAGAATCTTGCACTTAAATTGTTGACTGTAAAGGGAGGGCTTGTAATCATACTCATTTTATAAACATTTAGTAAAAGGATACCAACTGTTCTGCGAAGTATTCTATGTACTTTAGAGTAGCTCTTATGCTTGTTAAAAGTAGCTTGTGATTCATCATGCTCCCATGATATGTAATTCGGGTTGAAGTTATGCAGATATTGGTAAAAGTTCCATTATTAGTGTTGTCTGCTGGATTATTATTATTATTAGTCTCAATAAATTTTTCTACCTCTTAAAAAAGTTTAAATTTATATTGTTTGAAGCTGCTGCTGGTGGCTAATGGCTTTACTGGGGTTTGGAATTAAATATTTTTGTTTTTGGTCTGTGGACAACCTATGATCCCTGATTTTAAAATATTTGTATTTTAAACAGAGCAGTGGGCTAGTGGCTGAATTGAGGCTAACTGCTTGAAATTTAAAGCAACAGTGAAATTACACTTGCAATGAGGGTTTTAGGTAAAATGGAAGAAAATAGAATGAAATTTAGGGTTATCAATTAAGAAGATGGTGAAGAGGCAGTAAACAGTCTATTGAGCTGCAGTTACTGCATCCATAAATAGGGGAAGAGAGAAAAAAGGGGAGTAGGTAACCAAAGAGAGAATGAAAGATTATTAAAACTCCCTTGTCATTAGCAAATTTTGCCGATCTGAACTTTCCCTCTCCTAGAAACCTTAGAAATTGGATATTAATTAAATTTTGTCCTTGGATTGGGAAATATGGAAACTACTCAATATTACACTCAAAGCTGAAGACAACCATTAGTCTTGATGTGAGTGTAGTTGCTATGGGTGATCATAACAATTTCTTGACACAAACAAGCTCTCTATAAAATTGCATTTCCATGGGTGTAGTCTTGATTTGTCTTGCTTTTGACCAATCCGTAAGGATTACATTCTATGAACCATCTTCCCCTTCCTCTCTATGTTATTATTATTGACATTTTTGTTTGTATAATTGTAGATGTACTACAGCAAGGTTGGACTATGGACCCTGCCTCTCGCATGCTTATAGTGAAGAAGCAACCTGTCGTGACAGAGCAAAAGCTTGATCCTAGTAAATTGCAGCGCTTGACTGAATACGTCTTCCATCTTGAGCACTGAAGCTTTTGATTTCTGAAGAAATTAGGTTTTTTATTTTCTAAAAACTTTTCAAATTGATCGATCATATGTTCTTGAAGGTGCGTGAAAGTGCATGTATCCTGTTGATAATTTTGAAGCTGATCTTCTTGTGTTTGAACTTGAGCACTGATTAGTGAAATTTGCATCTCACTCGGTAGTTATTCAGCATGCCTCTCTCCTATATAATAGCGGAACAATTCTAAATTTGCATATTCTTCTTTTGAGGAGAAATCAACTGTCTGTATATTCTGAGTATACTGAATATTTTGTCATTTGTCTTAAACCGTTATTCTTAGGAGGATAATGTGAATAATTATCATAATGTCGATATAGATGGATTTTGGATTCCTACTGTAAACAATTTGGAAGTGAAAGCTGTCTATTAACGACTTGATTCCGTGCACTGAACATGATACTGTAATGTCCTTCGTTGGAAATGAAATAGTATGATTACATTTGGTAAACTTGGCTATGAACCATGTTAGTATTGCCCTGTCTGACGTTAAACTGCAAACAATTTTGCTGTTTGCATGGGAATCTATGATTATGGCGATGGTGGGGATTTCGGATCATTGGCAAGCGTGTTGGCTGCAGACCAGTAAGATGTATTTTGACTCCATCAAATCACATCTACGAATTAGTAGCAACCTCTGAAGCACAATTACCTTCATTCCATGTACTGTGGAAAAATCAATGAATAAAGCGATAAACCCAAAGTTAAATTTCAAAGCTATCGTTTGACACTGGGACAGTGGAAACACTTTTTGATTTACCGTACATGATTAGTTACTGGCATTATAAACTAATTCTTCTTCTGAATAATGCTTACGAAAAGGATTACCTAAAGCAGTCATGCAATATTCGTTTTACAAAGCATGTAATGTGTTGCGTTCACGATCAAATATAATTTTCTTCTGTCAATATCTACAAATTTACGGAATTTTCTCGTTTGCCATTTGCCAAATAACTTCGAGCCATTCTAAAGTATCGAAGATTATATATGCAATTGTAGGGAACCTGTACTTCATCTCAAGTTAGCCTCTAACACAAGTCAAGACGTTGTTAATGTCACTTTCTAAACTTCGTTGTCGCTTTAAAGGCGGTTACATGGTCTAGAGGCTCTGTAACGTTATATAAATCTTGAATGTAGCGATACCTCTTTTTTCTTCTCCTTAAGCGTTCATCTTCTTCTATTTCTGCCAATACATCCTCTATTGCATCGCTGGGTGATGATGGCGATGCATCAGCGTAAGTATCACTCTTGCTCTGTTGCGGTTTCCATTGCACGCTGTCGCTGTTGTTGCAGCTATGGTGATCTTCGTACAAGTAGGTGGTGCTGGAATATACGATGCTATTGCTAAGTTCTACGAGCTGCCTCGCTGCCTCAATCTCCGTTTGGGAGAACGTAGCAAGCTTATGCTTCTGGGTATTCTTGTTTTCGCATGCCATTGAAGGAGAGAGAAATGGTGAACCAAAACACAGGCCAGATATCATTTTATAGGGTTTAAAACTGTTGATTTCTTACTATATATACTTGTTCCCTTTTCTCTTCTTTCTTTTATTCTTTTTAGCCTTTTAATTAGTCTTTATTTGCTAATTTAGCTTTATTGTATTTATTATTATAATAATCAATATTATTCATTTATATCACCGTCATGCTTTTTTTTTTTTTGAACGAATATCACAATCATGCTTTCTATATTTACACCACACGTTAACGTGCTGGGCTCTAAACATCCTTTAGCAAGTTACTTATCTAGTCCTTCGTTGATAAGGATTCTAATTTATTCTGCTACTTACTCAGACGAGAGAGCGATTTGGTGGTTAAAAATAGGGCTCATTCTAACAAACGAATTCTATTTTCAGCACATAATAGGAAAATACCTATTTTTTATTTTCGGGTTTTCATTATTAATGTTGTTTTTGCCCAGTGGTTCATCTTTTGGATCGTGCTGTTCAAAATTCTAGCATATTACTTCTCTTTTAGTCTTGGACCCGTTTTGTCTGTAGCTACAAAGTCTTGAAGACGTTTGACCGACGAAAAAGGTATGCTGGTAAATTGATATAATTCAGTAAAAATTGAATAAATAAAAACATACTTTTTTTTATTATTAAATTGTATCAAATCAAACTAACAGATACATAAATACATTTGTACACACGTGCATATGCACACACACGTAACTTTACTTATAAATCTGCTGAATCACTCGTACTTATATTTATTCTTTTAAATATTTATAAAATTGTCCAACAACATATATATATATATATAGAGAGAGAGAGAAATTAAGAGGTAATTATTTTTTTAAAGATGATAAATTCTTTTAAATATTTATTTATTTATTTATGACAACTATAGTAGAGTAGATAGACTTTTCTAGTACACGTGAATGAAAAATACATTTAAATAAACTTAGATGATCATAACTTGTTAAACTATAGAATTTAGTTAATATGAATTGAAGCTTGAATAAAATCGAAACATTGATTGCTTACCTTCTCTTATAAAAAAGTAAAAAATAAAATAAAAAATTTCAATTCAATTCAAACATCTTTTTATTAAACTAAAATTGAATTTAAACTGACCATTAGATGACAAAAAAGTTGATTATCAGGTTTTTTTTTTCTCGTCAAGTCCGATTAATATTTGAGCCAATTGCTGAATATCAATAATTTCCACCAATCTCCTTAAAAATCTTATGGTTAATTAAGACACAATATTCTGAAAACAAAAACATAACCTTTTATTTTTATAAATACATAAAGTAGACGTGGACCTTTGAGTCCTTGCGTATTTAAGGATTCATCTTTAGGTTTGTAAAAGTAAAATGCGTAAGCATAGTCGTGGTATTGAACAATGGAGAGTCATTGTGTAATCCACTTCTTATTTGGCTGGCATTAAGTCTTGAATGAATGCAGAGAAAAAATGAAAAAATAAAATAAAGGAAGAAAATAAAGAAACATACCTTAATTTTATTATTTGAATGAAAATGAAAATGAAAAAACCAATAATTAATTTCTTTAACTTGGTTTGAAGGGAAAATGAGAAGTAATAAAAAATAATTAAATAATTTTATATAATAATAGATAAGTGGATGGCTCAGACTCTTTTTTCCTTTTTTAGGTGAAAAAGCTTTTACCGAGTTCTAAAATTTAATTTCACTCTATTTTCTCTGCACAATCAAATAACTAAAAAAATTACTGCACCTACCATTCCTTTCTTTATGACATACTATCCTTTCGTATCAACTATCTGTTAATTTGCTATAGACTGAAAATTCCAAACTCCAAATGCTACAGAAAAAGGGAAAAAGAAAAGCAACAAAACTTGCGTTCCAAGGTCACACTTTTCAGTTTCATGAATTGAACAATGGCTCCAAATTTGCTGATTCACTCTGCTAACAGTTAAGAACCGATCTCGCTTATGCTGCATAGCACTGCATGTGGGAAACTTGTTCACCGGCTATTGACTCTTCGAATCCTTCATCTGGATTCACACACTTTCTGATACCATCCAACGCTTCAGGCGCTGGACCCGTCGCGTCGGAATATTCCACCGGCGGTAACGATATTGCTGAATCAGGATACGTCGGAGGCGAAGCCTCCCAAGAATCACCAAGATTTGCCGGAGGAAGAACCGTCCAATCAGGTTCCCGTTCTGGAGTATCTGGAGTATCGACCATTACATTTACCGGGGAGGCAGCCTGTGATTGCCTCGTTACAGCGTTGGTTCCCGGTGCCGGAGCCTCGGCCGGAGGAGGAGAACCCGGTCTGTCCGTGACGTTGAGCGAAACGACCTCCAGACCGGAAACCGGACCAAGAACCGGTTGGTTTTCCGGCGAGTCAGGACTACTTCTTGGAGAGAAAAACTGGGGATCGGCGGAACGAATCGGAGGAACTACCTGCGTCGGCGGAGGAGAAATGTTGGAACGAAGACTAAGGATTCCTGCGAGGCCATGAACAGCGATGTCGCGGCCGTAATAGAGACCGGGAAAGGCGACGTCGACACCGGCAATGGTGATGGCCGCGGAGGGAGAACTGCGCGTGAGTTGGAGGTGGCGTTGAGAGAGGAGAGTGGGGAGCATGTAGCCCTCGGGGAGGAGACGAAGCTGGGCAAGGGAGAGGCGGCGAGGGACCACGTGGTGCCGGAGAGTGTCTGTGTAAGACGATGCCGTTTGAGTCATGTCGAGTGCGAACAGTGAAGCGTCGGTGGGAGCGAAGAAGGTGAAGGAGTGGGAGGTGTTAATGTTTGCCTCTCTCTGACTTTGGTCAGAGAGAAGTTCGATTTGGAGATCTGAGGTCATGATTGCGTTGCAGAAGAGGTCGTACCCTCTCACTCGTAGGTTGTCAAGCATCGAATCCAACTCTCTGCTCCGCATGCAACCCACGCTTGCGGCGTTCGCCAGCAACACCGCCATGCACAACAAAACCCATATCATCGATGTCATTTTCAAGATTCGTTCGGAAGACGGTGATTGTTTTCGCGCCTTTTTCTTCTGTGACCAGAATGCTCACACTTTTCTGTTTTATTGCGAGATTACCACCCTCCCACAGTTTCTTTGGCGGGCTCTCCTCTTTGTTGGGCTATCAAACAATTCATTAACTGACTTTTTCTCTAATGGGCTTTTGCGTTTTAACAATCTCATGGAGCCATTCCCTTTTCTTCTTCCTTGTTTTTTTTATTTGTTGTTTTTGTTTATGTAATTCGCCTTTGTTAGGATATGTACCTCGCACCGTAACTGCACAAAAATGTTCCATTCGTCACCATAAGAATAGGAAACACCCAATTTAATAGTCTGATTGTTCTGAATGTAAGCACTTGCTTATATTAAGAGAAGGAGTTGTGTGGCACATTCCTTGGCATTCTTTTCTTTTACCACTTGCATCAAAAGATGGCAAAGCACATGGTGGAGTGGGTGAAGTCAAATAAGTGGTGGGAATTAATGGAGGTCTGATGAAGAAGAAGAATTATAGCTAAGGAGGAGTTATGTAAAATGTAATTTTTTGGAATCTGTATCTCTCTAAGATTTTTTTATATTAAAGTATAAATTTAAAAAAATAAATTTATTTATTTTATTCAAACACTTGACTTTTTCTTGTAATTCTTTATATTTTGATTCATTTACTTCTAATAACTGTAATATAAAAATTATTTTAAAGTTTCCAAATGATAATAAATTTATAATGTTAATGTACAAATCTCTTTAAATGTCACTCTTATCACTAATATATTACTCGGTATACTTGCTGTGTCTGCATTGATCATGAGCCTGGCTTTATGTTGTGGTATAAATATCTTAATGCAAGTTGTTTTGGTATACAATTTAGTTTAGCACGAAAGTGTGTGGGAGAATCATGACGAATAACATGGCATGTAACAGAACACGACAAATACTAACATATGCCGGATCTAGAAAGGGAATCCATCATGATAGATGGCGGTGATGCTTCGTGAATATTTGGTACGTTATCGATTCTTATTATGCTTATTTTAACATTAAATTGTGGAAGCAGAGTACAAATTATTTACTTCATTTCAAATATTAATAGATTAATATCGTACAACTATTTTCATTAATCTCTCATAAATTTAATTAATTAATTTTTTAAATTATAGGTATCTTTTATATAAAAATTTGTTTAAGCTATGAACATCCGCATCATTATAGTTAATAGAATTAATTTTTTAGTAAGATTTTTTTTATTCACAAAATTTGAAGTTGAGTGAGACCTTGTTTAAAAGTATATTTAGAAGTTGAGTTTTGTAACAGGGAAGAAAAGAGGAAAGGTATTTAATTACAAATAGTTTTCAAAAAACACAATAACCTAATTTTAAAAGATTTAATTTAATCCTTCTTTAAATTATTAAATGAATAAGAATTAAATATAAACTTTTTATTTAGATTCTTTAATTTTTAATTGTATTAAAAATATATTTAAATCATTTAAAAATTTGATCGCAAGCTTAAAACGCGTGTCGTGTCCTCTAGGGACGGCGGAAGAAAAAAGAAGGAAAGGAACCCAACAGTTAGCACCGAAACAAAATAAAGTCAAACAAAAAGCGCGAATTCCCCGTTTCAAGTTTTTAACCTACTCGCAGCAAAAGTGCGCGTGCACTTTCATCTACACTAGTTTGTTTTCCTATTTCTTGAATATGACCTTCCACTCATAATTTATTGCATTTCGGAGACATCTTACTACTCATAATATTTGTTGCCTTCTGCCGACTCTCTGGTTCCTCAAATCATTTATTTTATATTACTCTCAAAGTTGTCAAGAATTCAACAATTAATAACTTGACTGGATTATTCCACCAATCATCTTAATTAAATGAACCAAACATTATCTTAGTTCCATCAACTACCATTCCTCAATTTCTACTCACATTAAAATTTTTCACCATTATCTAAACATACTATGCCAAGCCATTTATGCGTGTTTTCAACTTGACAAATCAAATCAAATTAAATTTTCTTTTCTTTCTTATGATAAATTAAAATTTTCTTTGCAGAGAACAAATCAAATAGAAAAGAGACTATTAAGTCTTGTTTTTTTTTTTTTTTTGAAAGACCAAAAACATTCAATTTTAGTGGCATCAAATCTTCTAATACCGTGTGATCCCGAAATTAAAATTCCATGAACTTTGTGAATAGGAGTACAGAATTAAGTTAACAAGTTTTGAACTTATTTAATTTGGACCTCTCATTTCACTTTCTTCTTTTACCAATCGCTTTCTCAACAAGAATACTTTAAGCTTCACACGAAAAAATAATGATCACTCAAATTGAATGTCGAACAAAATAATCTCGGAAATAGAAGCTGACAATTGTCTCAAAATAAGAAAACAATTTTGGAATATAATGAAACACTGAGATAATAATTTACGAATGATATAAAATACCTGTGTTGTCTGTCAAGGAAGAGATGAGAAATTGAGTTGGTGATATGGTTAGTTATCGTTGATACCCTGAAATAGCGGCGAGATTTGGAAAGAGAAGCGATGACATCGTCGAAGGTGGATCTGCCACGACAGGGTTCAGTTTCAAACCTGTTAGCGGACGAGGTTTGGGAAGAAGTAGTTGGCGGCGCCACTGAATCGACAATAAGCCTCGAAGATTTCTTAACAAAGGCAACCTCTGTTGTGAGAAACGACACCGTACGAGGAAAGAGGAAGGCCGTGGAAGAACCCTTAGATAAGGCCACTCTTCAGAAACAAAGAAGGATGATAAAGAACAGAGAGTCTGCTGCTAGGTCCAGGGAACGCAAGCAGGTATTTCAATTCAATCTTCTCTTCTCTCTCTTTCTTTTTTAAATATTAAATTAAATAATTTTTTATTTTATAAAATACGATGATAAATGTGGTGTGAGACTGAGATGATGTTTCTAGGCTTACACGGTTGAGCTAGAGTCTTTGGTTACACATCTGGAGAAAGAGAATGCTCTCTTGTTGAAGGAAGAGGTGCTCTTCGCAGCTCATCTTCTTATTTGCTTCTTGTTAAATTATTATTATTCGAAGGCAACATCTTTTTGTAAGAAATAAAATCTGACTTTATTTATATTCTCCATTTCCATTCTAACGTCATTTTGAAGCTCTTTGATGGTCTTTTCCACAATTCAAGTTTGAAACTTGAACAGTTCAGCTTTAAACCATTTTTTCGTAGTTGATTCTTTCTGGAGATTTTATTTCTTTCTGGCTTGGTTCATAACTTTATGAAATATTGGGAATTCCAACATGCAGGCTGATAGGAAAAGGCAGAGGTTTGAACAGGTATGTGTTTCATATCCTCTCATAATTTTTTTTTCTATTCTATAAAATATGTATCAAATGAAAAATTAAGAAGATTTTGAGGAATTATTCTTTGCGAATTCTTGTATGCCTCCGGTAAAGAAGTATTGGAACCGTAAATTTCAAAGGTTAAGCGTATAACGTTCCTAAGAAGAAGTATAAATTTGAAACAAGGAGTGGCAACTGGCAAGAAAGAATGCTATTGCAGGTTATGTTTAATCTGAATTGCTCTTCTATATTGATATGACTTGTCTTGGAAGTCAATCTTCCCTTTCAAGTCACCAGATGAGCTAAACCACAAAACCAAAACTCCTTAATCGTGTATATCAGTCCTGTCATTCTTACCCAATGTTGTACCATTTCTTACAACTGTGCCACGAATGGCTTCAGGGTATAGTTATTGTGTTTGTCTCTTGGGTGCTAATCCGATACTTGTCTCTTCAGCTCATGGAGTGCCTCGTTTCAGTTGAGGAGAAGCCTAGACTGAAAAAAAAGCTTCGAAGAGTGAACTCAACTCAATGGTGAATAACAATCAAATGATGCAAGAAATATTAAAGGGTAAATATGAAAAAAAAAAAAAGGGAAATGATTTCGAAACTTACTTTGTATACACGTAGCTTTACTGGTTATTTTCTGGGATGACTCGGAGTTACATTAGAAAATAGCTACAGCCAAATGATTTAACTAAATTGATCTCGACTTTATTATTCTTTCACTGTTTGTGGATCCTCTGCTTTCTTATTTTATGGATGGGAGACTATGTTGTATATATATATATATATATATAGAATTGAAAACCGATAGGGAAGAAAAGATTGTTTGTATATTTCTTACACTTTTTGTCAAATAATACAATGATTTATTTATAAAATAAAAAAATTAAATTTTATTAATAGTCATAAACTACAATCAAAACCCATTATAACTATTTATCAAAAACATAACTGCTAACTCTTGACCTTTTATTCTAACAAAAAACTGCTGAATTAAAACCAATTAAAACTGACATTTAAGTTTATTCAACAAAACTCCCTCGTAAACTTAAATGCTTCTGTCATCTTTCATGCCAATCAATTTCTTGCAATTATCAAAAAGTACCGTTGGTAGCGGTTTCGTGAAAATATCTGCGACTTGATCTTGACTTGCCACGTGCACTAATTCCACATTTCTTTCCTTCACATGATCTCGAATGAAATGAAAGCGAATGTCAATGTGTTTGCTTCTCTCATGATTCACTGGATTCTTTGCCAACTCAATTGCTAATTTATTGTCAACTCGTATCACAGTCGTATCAATTTGTTGTTGCTCCAATTTGTCCAACAGATTTCTAAGCCATATTGCATGACATACACACCCAGATGCTGCCACATATTCAGCTTCACATGTTGAGAGCGTCACGATTGGTTGCTTCTTTAAAAGCCAAGTAAAAGCTGTGTTACTCATAAAGAACACATACCCTGATGTACTTTTCCGATCGTCTAAGTCTCCACACCAATCACTATCAGAGTACCCAATTAACTTGTAATCTTCCGCATTCGAATAGAATAACCCTAGTGATACCGTTCCTTGGATATACCTTAGAATCCGCTTCAACGCCTTCCAATGTGAATAAACTGGCTCCTCCATGAACCGACTTACAATGCCAACATTTAACGAAAGGTCTGGTCTGGTGCATGTGAGATAGCGAAGACTTCCCACCAAACTTCGATATTTGCTCGCATCAACTCTTTCTCCTCCATCGAATTTAGAGAGTTCTGCACCCGGTTCCATTGGTGTTGATACGGGATTGCAATGTGTCATCTTGTATTTTTTTCAAAATCTCCTTTGCATATGTTTCCTATGACACAAAAATCCCCGTCTCTTCTTGTCTTACCTCCAGACCAAGGAAAAACTTCATCAAGCCCAAATCTGTCATCTTGAATTCCCGTGCCATTGTGCTCTTTAACTCTTGTATCATTTTACCATTGTTCCCCATAAAAATGAGGTCATCAACATAAAGAGTAACAAATAACATATTACCTCCAATCTTCTTCACGTAAAGGGCATGTTCATAGGGACATTGTTCAAACCCGTTCTCCTTGAAGTATGTATCAATGCGAGAATTCCATACCTGCGGTGCTTGCTTTAACCCGTAAAGTGCCTTCTTCAATTTCAGCACCTTCTTCTCTTCTCCTCTTTTCATGTACCCGGGTGGTTGTTTAATGTAGATTTCTTCTTCAAGCACTCCATTCAAGAATGCCGATTTGACATCCATTTGGAATATCGGCCAATTGAATTGAGCGGCTTATGAAATGAGCAATCGGATTGTCTCCATTCTTGTAACAGGAGCAAATACCTCATCATAGTCAATTCCCTCCTTTTGCTTGTATCCCTTTGCAACAAGCCGCGCCTTGTACCATTCTATCTCGCCTTGAGCATTCATTTTTCTCTTGAACACCCACTTCACACTAATGGGCTGACTTCCTTTCAGTAACTCCGTTAACTTCCATGTGTTGTTGCGGCTAATTGCTCTAATCTCCTCGTCCATGGCAATTTGCCATTTCTTGTCTCGCACCGCCTCTTCAAAGCTTATATTCTCGGAATCTGCCAAAAGACATACAATGTGTACCTCATTTGTCGAATCATACAAATCTTGCAAACTTCGCATTCTGGGTTGTTGCGGTTCATCTTCATCACTGGTAGTTTCAGGATTTGTCAGTGTGATTGTTGGTATAGCGGTTGATGATTCTCCATCTTCATTGATAACCTCCATTGAGTTACTCCAATCCCACTCATTTGCTTCATTAACTTGTACATCACGACTCACCACAACCTGCTTGCTTATTGGGTCTAGTAGCTTGTATCCTTTTGTTTTGTTGTCATACCCAATAAAAACATACCTTTTGCTTTTGTCTTCGAGCTTCGTTCTTCGCTGATTCGGCAAGTGTGCATAGGCCACACTACCAAATACTTTGAGATGAGAAACCGTTGGTTTTTGTCCACTCCATGCCTCTTGTGGTGTTTGATCATCTAGCTTCGCATGTGGACACCGATTTTGCACATAGATAGCGCATTGCACGGCTTCTGCCCAAAATTCCTTCGGCATCTTCTTGCTTTTTAGCATTGATCGAACCATATCAAGAACAGTCCGGTTCTTCCTCTCGGCCACACCGTTTTGTTGGGGAGAGTATGGTGCGGTTAGAAATCGCCTTATGCCTTGCACCTCACAATACTCCATGAAAGCTGTTGAAGTATACTCGCCACCTCTATCGGATCGTACCGATTTGATGTGTCTACCGATTGCTTTTTCCACCACCACTTTAAACTTTTTGAACACCTCGAATGCCTCGAATTTTTCTTTCAGAAAATAAACCCAAGTTTTTCGTGAGAAATCATCAATAAAAGAAATAAAATATCTCTTACCGCTAAAAGATTCAGGAGTGATTGGTCCACATATGTCGGTATGAATCAATTCGAGAGGTTCCTTAGCACGATATTCTGCCTTCTTTTGAAATGAAGTTCTCGCATGCTTGCTGAGCACACATTCTTCACAAAATTTGTTCTCATAGTCCATGTCCGGTAGCCCGTGCACCATGTTCTTCTTTGCCAACTTGTTTAGACCACCATGATGTAGGTGACCAAAACGAAGATGCCACAGCAAAGCCTTGTCTTCTACGTTGACTCGCAGACATTTTTCTCGAACGCTTGTCAAATTCAGCTTAAACATGCGATTTCTCCCCATTTCAGCTCGAGCAACCAAATGCCCATGTTTATCTTTCAAGTGTAACATCCGGTCTTTCATAAATACCGAATAACCTTTCTCCATGAGTTGCCCCATACTCAAAATGTTGCTCTTGAGATCTGGTACGTAATATACATCTTGGATTAACCCAACCAAGCCATCCTTTTGTAAATAACAAACCGTACCTTGGCCTTTGACTTCAACCTTCGATGCATCTCCAAATGACACATGTCTAGTTTAAACCTTTTGTATCTCTTTGAATAGGTGCTTGTGCCCGCACATATGATTGCTTGCGCCCGTGTCAAGGTACCACACCGTATTGTTATTGGTGTTGACTTCATTATGTGCCATCAAGAGAAAATCTTCTTTTGCTTCCACATCTTCCGTGACTAAATTCGTTGTCTCTTCCACCTTTTTCTCGACCCGACATTCTTTCGCAAAATGCCTTACCTTTCCACAATTATAACACTTATCGGAGTTGCAATCCTTCGCATAGTGACCATATTTGCCACACTTGTAGCACTCGATGTTGGAATAATTGGGTCGACCGCCTCTCCAACGACCACGTCCTCTTCCACGCCAATTTTGCTAGTTTGAATGTTCTTTCTCCTCATAATATTCTTCTTGACCGCGACCTCTACCACCGCGACCATTTCCTCGACTTCCACGGCCACGTCCTCTACCTCGAATGTTTTGAGAATAGAGTGCCTTCTCGTCTTTGATTAACGCCTTGGTTTGAAGTGCTTGTTCAAGTATCTCCTTCTTCTTCTTCTTCTTACGTTGTTCGTGTGCCTCGAGAGAACCAGCGAGCTCGTCGATCGTGAGCATTGTTAGGTCTTTTGACTCTTCTATAGCACATACGACATCTCAAAACTGTCAGTTAACTACCTCAAAATCTTCTCCACAACTCGTGCATCAGTTAAAACTTCTCCATTTCGATTGAGTTGGTTCACCACGGTTTGAACACGCGTGATGTAGTCAGAGACCCCTTCCGACTCTTTCATCTTCATGCTTTCCAACTCACCACGAAGAGTTTGAAGGCGGACTTGTTTAACCCGGTCAGCTCCTTTGTACACATTCGCTAAAATGTCCCACGCTTCTTTTGAAGTTGTTGCATTCGCAATCTTCTCAAAGCCCGACTCGTCAACAGCTCGAAACAATAAGTACAAAGCTGCCTTATCTTTCGATCGCGTCTCTTTCAACGCCTTGTGTTGAGCTGCCAAATATCCCGTGGTAGTTTCCGGTTCTTTGAAACCTTCTTCTACCACCTCCCAACCATCTTGAGACCCAAGAAGAGCTTTCATTTGAATGCTCCAATTCTCATAGTTCACCTTCGTTAGTCGAGGCAGTGGCACATTATTGGTCACACTCGCCATAGGCTCTTGATACCAAATTGTAGAATTGAAAACCGATAGGAGAGAAAAGATTGTTTATATATTTCTCACACTTTTTGTCAAATAATACAATGATCTATTTATAAAATAAAAAAATTAAATTCTATTAATAGCCATAAACTACAATCAAAACCCATTATAACCATTTATCAAAAACATAACTGCTAACTCTTGACCTTTTATTCTAACAAAAAACTGTTGAATTAAAACCAATTAAAATCGATATTTAAGTTTATTCAACAATATATATATATATATATATATATATATATATATATATCATATCTTCTTTTTTTTTTAATTTTTTTTTAAAAAATTTCTCAATATTCAAAGGTGCATGTATAAACATTCCATCGATTGTCCGACATTAATTTCTCTTTCTAAATCATAAATGTCAATAAAAAATATGATCTGGATCAGTTCTAAGACAAAGGCTAACCATATGGTATCCTCCACAATAAATCGAAATCTGCCGTGAATGTTACTGGCACAATCTCATATCAGAAGCACCCAGATCATCATTTCCTTGTCAGAGCCAAGAGAAAGGAATTGTTATATAGTACAATCCCACAAATACGCTCTGACATTTCTAATATCTTTATGGGACATGTCCATGTAATGACACTAACACAACCAGATCCAACAACCCTACAATAGGTACACTAAACAAACGACTTAAACTCATAAAAAAAAGGATTCTTCTCACACGGGTATCTTCTCTAATTTAATACATACCATAATTTGAGACACTTTCAACTACTTAAAACAACCATGCGTATGGGAGGATCCTTCCATCCTAGTCATCTCGTATTGAACAAAATACATCGTGAATGTCCCCAAAGGAGAGTAGTGTACTCTAACCACCGCTCTTGTAGAATCCCTCCATCGCCATCATTGATTTATATTCTTCAAGAAATGAATGGGCAAAGTCTAACAAAACTAGACTCTAACCCTAACTTAGTAACCTGTCAAGCACCAACCCAAATGGCTATATTTTTTCCTTCTTCGATGAATTAAAATTGATAACTTATGATATTTTAGATTATGTTTGAGAGTTGTGTTTAGAAGGAGAGGAGAAAAGAAAAGTTAGGAGAGATTAATTATTATTTGAAAGTTGTTTAATTAATAGAAGAAAGTTTTGGGAGGTTTTTAAACCCTCATAACCCTTATTTTTTTAGTTTCTCTATTTTAAGAGTATTCTCTTTCTCACTCTCTAATATTCTTTCACAATTAGAATTCTAATTTTTTTTTAAAAATATTAATTTTTTAAAAAATTTATAAAAAATTAAAATAGTAATTTTAAAATTATTAACTTTTAGAGAAAAAATATTTATTTTTACTTTTTGTAAAAATAAAAATATAAATAAAAGATATAAAATATATCATTCATATAATTAAACTCTCCATCACTCTTCTCTCACAATATTAAACATTCAAACAATAAAAGAGTTTAACATCCTTCCTTCACTTATTCCTCTTTTTCCCTCTTCAAATCTTTTTCCTCCCTCCTCTTCCTAACTTTTAAACAAAACTTTAAAATATTATATTTTTTGTTGTCTAGTTATACACATAACTCAATTTAAATAAACTTCTATAAAAAGTTTTATAAGATAAAAATATTGTTATAAAATAATAAATTAGTATTAAAAATGAATAAGACTTTTAATAAGTTAAAAATAACTTCTTTTCAAATTTAACTTCTCTAAAATTATTTATTTTTATACTAATTTTTTGCTTCAATAAAAATTTCTATAAATTCAAACTGGCCATGCTCCTTTTTCTCCAGTTACGCAACTCACCTACTTTGCATTCCATTCAATGTCCACAATAGCTAGTAGAATGGATCTTTACCAACCATTTACACACCTTGTTAATACCATTCCATCATTTTGTTAATTTATATTGACATGCATGGGACGAAACGAATTAACCACGCATATCAAACAATAAGGTAGGTCTAATAACTCATAATTGAGTCACATAGACAACAAAGGTTGAAGATTGTAAACAAAAAAGAAGCAATAAAAGGCTACCCTCCATCACCTCTATTATTACATTAAATCGCCAATTTTTTAAAACTTTTTTTGTTTGGGTCTATGATGTAACCATGACCGTTCTGCATGGGATATAAAAACGATGCATCAAATCCACTTTTTCTTTTTTGGGACTGATTCCACTGCAGTATGTTCGAGGTAACTAGTTCAATTCATTGGAATCTAATTGAAATAACAACAACAATAATAATAGTATAGGTTGAAATTGTGTTATTACTTTCATTGTATATTTTGTTTTGCTGTTTTGGGCTCGTATTGTACAATTTGAAATTTTGGTTAACAATGATCCAAGTTTGAAGCATTTTCTTGAAATGTTTGAGAGTAACATCGTGAGACTACAGGTCCGAAAAACAACAGGAAAAAAAATGTTAACTAATGTTCTGAGACTATTGGTGGTTAAATAATTAAAAGTAAAAAAAAATTAAAAATGTTATTAATGTATTATTATTTATGTAATTTTCAATGTATTTTTAATATAACTTTAATAAAATATTTGCATTTGATTTCTTAATTAGTGTCTTAAGTTAAGTAAGATCCAAGGAATTTTATTTTTTCATTCCTGTGCTACATTTTCTTTGTTGCGGTACATATTTTGATGAAAACAATTAAATCATGATGACATGTTGGGACAAAGGAAATGGTATAAATTAATGACTCACCAAAATCTCCTTCATTAATTATAGAATAACAAGATTTTTCCAATGTGTTCAATTCTACTTGTCTGGAGCATCACTTTTCTTTCTCATAATTTCGTTAAAGTTGTTAATGGGTCACTGTTGGCCTTAATATTAATAGCTATAAGATACGATGATGTAATTTTATCAATAGATATCACTGATCCCTGGACCACTGGTGCCCAATCCCTTCTACGAGCGCAAATTAAAATTTTTTTGGAATCATTATCTTATAGGGAGAAGTAACTTAGAGGTATAAAATATATAGAAAGAACAAATATGATAGAAATAGACTATTTAACACCCTTTTAATTATTCATTAAAATTTATTAAAAATTATAAAAATTGTGTGAATTACACTTTTTTTATTTTTAATCTAATGTTTCTTTTTTATAATTTTAAAATGTTTAATAAATAAGTTAAAACGTGTTAGAAAAATATATTCTTAATATTCCTCATGTAATATGACAAACACCTATAATTTTGACAAAATTTAAGCAATTCCTTTATGTGAATTTCTTTTTGTGTGTAATGTTCTATTTTATCATATATATAAACACTCAAAATGTCAATTTGTTTTTTTTGAAAATTTTATAAAAAAATAACTTATGAATTTCACAAGTAATTTTTAACTTATTTCAATAAATTTTATTGTTAAATTTAAAACATAAATCATTAATTTAAAAATAATTTATTAAATAAGTATTTAAATACCAAATTATCTAGACACGCTCTAAATAAAATTTTTTGACTCTCTATTCAATAATAACTGTCAACCTTTGCTAAATTAATCCTATTATAACTTATCTAAATTTTAAAATAGATCGTAATAATTCAACAAAAGTATCACATATTATTGAGAAGATATTATTTAAAAAAAAATAAGAATCTCACTATTAGAATAATATTAGTATAGCTAACTGTAGAAGATACTCCTTCTCTTTCAAATTTTACCTTTTGTATAATATTCCCTTCGATCCTTTTTATAAGAAACAAAAGATTAAATTACTAAAAAAAAAAGTAATTAATTCTGTTATGTTTTTCATAAATATAAATTTTATTTTAAAAATACTTATGATATTAAATGATGTAGTTAGTAATTTAAATATTTAATGATACTAATAAAAGAAAGATATAAAAAAAATTTAACAATTAATATATTTTAAATCTATTATTTGTTTCTTATAATGAAAATTAAAAAAATGTTCCATTTTGTTTCTTATAAAAAGGACTAGAGGGAGTAACACGTAGGTGCACTTTTTTTATCCAAAAAATGTCTATAAAAACAACATAATTGAACACAATTTTTACGGCACATATTTCATGCAACCAAGTTCACGTTAGTATTTTGTTTAAAATACTTAGTAAAGATTTTATTTATATTTAGTCATATATTTTAAAAATCTTATAAGTAAATAAATTAAAATACAAGTTGCTTATTTGTATTTAAAATATTTTATGTGTCCTTATAATTTTTTTAAAAATATATTTAAAAATAATTTTAGTTTTAAGTAATTCGTATAACATTATATATTTTATTAATTTATATATAATAAACATGTGTCTAAAATAAATTTGATATGTTATAATTTTAATTTATTTATAATATTTGTTAAATTAAATAAGCAACTTTGGGTTAGTATTTAATTAGTAATTTAATCAAAGTAACAAAATTAATTTATTGTTATTATTTATTTATTTATCTGTTGTATAAAATTTTATGTATTCTTATCGACTAACAAATAATATTATTTGTGATGATATTTTTAGTTTTAATTAATGGTTGTTATATGATATATCTTAAAGTAATTTTGTCCTCAAAACATTTTCAAAGACCAAAGGTGAAACCATCATTGTCCTTTGATATATAAAAGCTACCCTTATTGCCAAAGGAAATGCAAAAATATTAGGAAAGGAAGAAGCAGAATGAGTAGGGAGATAAAATTTGAGGTGACAGGGAGAAAATGCATCAAACCCTCCACGGCCACACCACCGCAACTCAAAACCTTCAAACTCAATTTACTAGACCAACTTTCACCAAACATTCATGGCAACATCACCTTCTTCTACTCACACGACCCCACCACCCACTTCTCCACAAAATCTCAACTCCTTCAAAACTCTCTCTCCCAAGTGTTGACCCTCTTCTACCCTCTCGCAGGTCGCCTTCAAGACTCTGCCATCCACTGCAACGACGAAGGCGCTTTCTTCATTGAAACTCGAACCAATATCCCTCTCTCCGACATCCTTACATCTCCAGATTTCGACGCCCTCCAATGTTTCCTCCCCACCACCGACAATGAAACGATGGCAACCTCAAACGGTTCCTTGCTCCTCGTCCGTTTCACCTCGTTCGCTTGTGGCGGCACCGCTGTTACCCTATCCCTCTCTCACAAGCTTGCTGACATGGCATCTTTGATGGTACTCCTCAAGAGTTGGACCGCCGTGTGCAATGGAGCCACCGCACTAGTGGTCCCCGACCTCAGCATCGGTGCTACTCTCTTTCCTCCGAGAGATATTCCTGGCATGTCAGCTTCTGTAAACACGGTCTCTACGGTGAATTTCACAACAAAAAGGTTGGTTTTCGAGGCTTCCAAGGTTAAAGAACTAAAGAGCAAAGTGAAAACGAGGTTTGACCCTTCCAGGGTGGAGGTAGTTTTGGCGCTAATTTGGAAATGTGCTTTGTTGGCATCTCGCTCCAAAACGACGTCATTTAAGCATTCGATTTTGTTTCAAGCTGTGAACCTCCGTCCTCGCATGGAGCCACCTGTTCCCGACACCGCAGTGGGGAACTTTATATGGGCTTTCGCGGTGACGGTGGAGAAAGGTAGTGACATGGAGTTGCATGTGATGGTGAGTAGGATGAGGGACAATATGAATGAGTTTATGAAAACAAAGGCAGAAAAATTCAAAGAAGAAGGTGCATTTGGGGTTGTGATGGAGAGTATGAAGGAAAGGGGTGAAGTATTGAGGGAGAGAGAGTGTGTTATGGTTTTTAAGTGTTCAAGTTGGTGTAATTTTCCACTTCTTAAGGTTAATTTTGGGTGGGGTGAAGCTGTGTGGATGTCAAGTGTGAATAAATATGTTAGTAATACCATTGCTCTGATGGATACCAAGGATGGTGGGATTGAAGCCTTTGTCACTCTTGATCAACAACAGATGGCCTTGTTTGAACAAGACCAGGAGCTCCTACACTATGCTTTGATTAATCCCAGTGTTATAATTTGATCCTCTCATTTAATTCTTATTTACTTCATTGTCTTAGGGTTGTCTCCAGGTTATATCAATATATGAAGCTTTACTCTCTTTTTTATCATACTAGTTACCGTTTTTTTTTCTTTTTCTTTTTTTCCATTTCACAGTCCAAAATGCCTAAAACAATAAATAAAAACATATATTGACAATTTTTTTGTATTACATATACACATTTTTAAATTGAGATAAAATTATAAAATATTATTAAAAGAATAATATAAAAATATATTGTCATTGTTAAATAATTAAGAAAAAAAAAGTATAATTGAAGAAATGATATTTTTAAGATTGATGAGTAAATTATAGAAAGTAATCGGGTGAATCAACTACAAGTTTGTAATTAATAAGGCAAATAATTAAGTTAGCTTGTGGCTTGTTTGATTAGTTTAAAAGCTTGCTTGATTAAATTAGATATGTTTGATAGAGAAACTTATTTTAATAATTTATAACATTTTGTAACTCTTTTTGAAATATTATTTCATGTAGCATTTAAATTTATAAACTCTTGAATTTTTTTATTTTTTTATTTTTATCGATCCTGTCTATCTTGTTGTCATTCTTCTCTTATCTTTTGATTTAACAAATATTTAGCAACATGATTTCACTATCACATTAAAAAGCATTTCAAATCAAAATTTTTTAAAAAAAGTATTATCCTAATTTTTTAGATAACTGGTAAAGAGTCAAATTCCATTTATTTGTTCTTAAAACTTTGAATTCAATGGTACCCATATGCTCAGGTTTGAGATTAAAAGTGAAAGGCATAGGAAATTCCAGCTATATGTGTGTATTTAGGATGCAAGTAGTAAGACAGATATTGTCCTTGGAACATATATATTGTCATTAAACATATATATTTTGTGTATGCCAGAAGAGGATATTTGAAGGTGTTTTATTTTTTTAATATTTGAGATATCTTTTTACGATTATATATATATATATATATATATATATATATATGTATGTATGTATGTATTAAAATAATCATATATAATATTATAACTTATGTTAAATATAATCTTCAAAAGAAAAGGTCAACAAATATTCCTTGTTTCACTACCTTTCAAACAAATGGTTAGGTTTGACCAGCTATGCATATAATTGTGGGATGAAAATTATTTTCTGTCCCTTTTTCTTGTATTTAATCTTATCACTCTAATCATAATGGCAATTTTGATAAATTCTTTTATAGATGTTGAATAGTTTATATATTTTGAATGTTTGTTATTTAGTGTTTACATTTTTTTTTTAAAATGATTAAATCTTTTTGTTAAGATTTTATTGAATACAATAATTTAATTGAAAATTTTAAATAATTTTAGAAACAAGTTATAAATTTAATTATTGAATAAGTCTATGGATTAATTGGTTAGAAAATTAATTAACAGAAGAAACCGATCCACGATGCTCTGCTAGCCATTTCAAAAGTAAACATAAAGTTGAATGAATGGGTAACAAGTAAAAATGACAAATAGTATTTAAAAAATGAAGTGTGAACAGAGTCACTAGTTACGTGTTTGAATTTTACGCGGTAGGTTTATATCCCATTGGAAAAGCAAGCACAAAAAATACAAATATCTTTCCCCCATTAGTGTGAATTTCATTGCACATTATAAAAGTAATTTAGGTACGAAGAAACATGAGAATTGACTTGATAAACCTGAATTGCATTAAACATCGCACGTTCAATCTGAGGCTTAATTATGTTTTTATTTTTATATTTTATTGAATTTTTTTATTTTAATTCTTTTAAGTGAATTTTTTTAGTCTCTTAATATTGATGTGATCAAATAAAAATTGATATAGCATCTCAATGAATCAAACTAGAGACTAATAAGAAAAATTCATAAAAAAACAAATTAAAACAAAAAAAATAATTTAAAAGAATTAAAACAAAAAATTTACTAAAAATATGAGAAACAATTTTTTTTTTCTAGTTAAAGGACTAAAAGTTTAAACAATTGATAAAAGTTAGGAACCTATCTTAGGAGTCTAAATATCCAAAGAGTCAAGGTATATAAAGGGGATAAGGAAGAAGGAGCTAAATCAATGCAAGAGTTATTTAGATCTAGTTTAGCTAAATAGTCAACATATTAGTTGATTTATCTATAACAATGACTAAATCCAACAAATTGAATGAGTTTAACAGCATTCTTAATTTTAGTAATCAAATCATATAAAGGGTGAGTATAACTCTGAAAACTAAAGATAAGAGACAAAGTTTCTTTTGAATCACTCTCTATCCAAATAATGTAAATAACTTTTTGAGCAATAAGATCTAGATCCAACATGATACTCCAATGTTCAGCAACCACAATAGTGCAAGGATCAAGTTTTCTACAGAAACCAAAGATGAATTGACCTTGAACATTCCTGATTAAGCCACCACAAGCAGCAGCTCCAGTTAGCGCAGGGAAATAGCCTTATCAACATTGAGCTTCCATTTATGAGTAAGGAGAGTGTATAATCCTTAATTCTTATCCAATATAAATAATAATTTATAATAAAGAATGAAAATTAAATGATTTTCTTATTATATTTATAGCTTAAAGAATTGAAAAAGAGTAAAACTTGTATTCCTATTATTAAATTCATGAAAACTCAAAGATATTCAAAGTCTTTAAAATGAAATAGTTGTGAAAATTTTAATTCATCAATAGAGCAAAAACTAGGATTTTGATATTAACAATTTACTTACTTCATATTATATATACTTGTAGACTAAAAGCATAAACAACAATGCTTCTTATAAAGTAAATTTCTATCTAAAATTTGAATATAAACTAAAATTAAAATAATTAACTATTAATATTACAAACACTTCAAATCAATTGTTACAACAAAATTTAAGTGTTATAAATTCTAGATTTAGCATTAAAATAATTACATAACCTTGTTAATTTAAAATGGAAACTTAATGAAATATTACAAACTTCAATTAATCCAAATCCTATAGAGTAGTCTTTCCTCACAACATCATTGAAATATGATCCTAGAACATACCATCCTTCTTTTAATCCTCTTCGATTTTGTCTCCTAAAAATAATTAGTAAGCGTAAGTATCCTCTGCTCCACTAAATCATTTATTTTATAAATAAATCATATAACACAGAAATATCATATAATACAATATGCATTAAGGTAATATATTACTAACTCATATATTATATTCACAAATTTTATAGTAGATCAAACATGATAACAATCATATAATTAGTATTTTCAAACATGCATTAGACTCATATCATTTCAGATAACCTTACATCGAGTAATATGTCATAATACGTGTGTCATAATCATATTAAACAATGCATTACAATTACACTCGTTGATGTATTACAATATTTATATTATAATCATATCAATCAATCTGTTATGACTCACTTATTACAATCACACATATCACAATTCAATATTCATTACCCCTGAGATCCCTTGAGATCTTCCATAAGTATAAATAGTTGCTGGTTAGCCGCAGTAACATGAATACAACGTGTGCTGATCCAGTCAGGAGTCTAGTCAGGAAATGAGTGTGTGACCTGTGATGCTTTTACTTTCATTAAATCATGTGCATTCACTTACTAAAACATTCACTACTCTCATTTCTCCAAGATTTTTCAAATCATCTTCCAAACTCTGAATTTTTGTAACTATCTATACACAATCTCAACATTTCTCATAACATTCATTTTCTCAACATTTTGACATGACACATATTTTATCATCATTCAACATTTCACATTACACAATTTATCAACATTTCTCTTTCTACTTTGACAATATAAACAACTTTAATTTTTCATCCACTTCCATTCATATCAGTCCTCTATTCATAAATTTTACTAATAAAATATTTGAAATATAAGATTAACTATAAAATTAGTTTGGGAATGAAAAGAAGGGATATATATAAGTCAAATCTAAAAATTAGGAGACAAAATGTGTAAGCTTGATATAAGAATTAGGTAATGATTTATGTTGATGGTTATTTTGAGAATTAAGAAGTGAATTAAGTGTAAGTCTAGTCTTAAAATGAGGTAATGAAATGCATAAAATGCCAATCTAAATATGAGAAGAATAGTTAGGTGCTATTCTATCTTAGAAATGGTTAGATAAAAACACGTGAACCTGAATATGAGAAGAATAGTTAGGTGCTATTCTATTTAGAAATGGTTAGATAAAAACATGCATTATCCCAAAAACGAGCTTTTGGAGTACTAGCTTCGACAGCGGTTAATCGAAATCGTTTTGTAACAATACATTAAGAGAGTAGTTAGCATTGAACCATTTTGTAATAATATATTTAGAGAGCTATTAGCTAGCATTAAACCGCTCTCTCAGATCTATACTTTTAAGAGCGGTTTTCTATTAACCACTTTCTAAAGTATACTCTCAAATTTATACTTCTAAGAGCAGTTATCTATTAATTACTTTCTAAAGTCACACATTAAAAAGCAGTTAATAAATATCCGCAGTTAATAAATAACCATTATTTAAAGTCACTCTTGGAGAGCGGCTAACAGAAAATGGCTCTCCAAAGTTTTTAACTTTTATAAATGAAGTATGCTCAACTCATGAATCTCTTCGTTTTGTTAATAAAATTTGTCTCTTTTATCTCTGTAAATTATTTTCATCTTTTGTGTTAACAAAATTGGTGTCTTTAGTCTCTTTCACCGTAGGTTGTCTTTGTTTTCTCTCTGCTAACAAATTGGTTTATCACATTGTAGGTACTTTTTTCACAGTTTTCTCCATTTTCTTTTTCTCTTTATTAACGGTGAATCATCTATTCGTTCTTTTTTTCTTTTGCTCTCTATTAACGGTAAATTATTCTACTAATTTGTTCTTTTTTTCTCTACTTACTTGTGTTTGGTTCATTTAGATGTGGACTGTTTGATCAATGCAACACATAGACTCAAGATTCAATTTTAACTTGTGATAAAAATGAAAAAATTTTGAATATCAGGTCTGTAAATTAAAATTTAAACGTAACAATAAATTAATTTTAGTTTATAACAGAAAACTCAAAAAAATAAATTTCAAATTTCAGATTTACCGTTTACATTCATACTTTAGAGAGCGGTTATATAAGCCGCCCTCTAAGTAACATCTATTTTATGAGAACAGTTCCATGTACCGCTTTCCAATCTTAACATTTGAAAGTGATTGTTTAATCGCTCTTTTAAACACAACACATTAAATAGTGCAAGATTTTAGAACAATTCTAAACGATTCTCTAATTTAAAACATAATTGGTCTCACATCTCTTTTCTAGTGTAATAACGTGAAAATTAACTAACTACAACTCTAGTTAAAGATTGAAGAATAGATAAAATATGTAATAAAGTTATTAGCTGTCTAGATGATTTGAGAGACAACATTTTCTCGACTTTTTACCGAACATCATTCTTAATATCTTATACAAACTAAAAATATACATTATAAATAATTTTGTTTCATATCTTTATCTTAATAATAAAAGAAAACAAATTCTGGATTTGGATATGCACAGTTGTCCTTTAAATAACTTCAGTGTCGGTTATTTGGACTTTGTTTAAAAACGTTGAGTGGTATAAATTTGCTTTTTCAACAAACAAAAGATAAATTTAAATAGGATGGTGGTGTAGTGATCGTGTCTCCCCGAATAAACGTAGTTATGCAATTTTATTTTTTTAATAATCCTATGACATGTTTAAGTTTTTATATCAAGTTAAATTAAAGTATCATTATTTTTTATGAAAAATATATGGATGAGTATTAACAAATAACTATTATATTTTTATACTTATTTTTTATATCTATTTTTTTTATTCTTAACTTCTTTTTATCAGCTTTTTTATATAAATAATATTATTTTAAAAACTATTTTCCAACATAAAGCTAATTAAAAACTATTTCTAGGTATATTAGAGTTCCAAGAACAATACTATTTTTTTTAAAACACGTATTATAACAATTTCCACTTATGTGATGACAAGTGTCAAGTGTAGAATGAGTATCTCCTTTTTTGGACGATAATATTACTGTCAACTTTAGACGATATTGTTATCTATGTGTCAGGTGCGATATTATGTGAGATGTTGATATGTGACATTTATTTAAAAATATTTTAAAATAATTTAAAAATTATTTAAATTTAAAATATACTTAAAGTTTTAGATTTAAAATTTTTTAAGATTATAAATTTTAAAAAATAAAATTAGAAATTGTAAGAATTTAATTTTGATTGTAGTACTAATGATTAGTAAAAAAAAGTTGTGGTAAGTTTAATTGATATATTTTTTATAAAAATATAAATTAAAATTATAATTGATTGAGTTATAAAATTAAATATTTTAAAAATAAGATTATGAATTTCAAAATAAAATGAAGAATAATAAATTATAGAATTAATTTTTAGTAAAACAATTACAATAAAATAAGTTTAGTTAACATAACATGCATAAAAATAAAAATTAAATTTATAATTATCTGACTCATTAAAATTATAAATTTTTAAATTATTATTAGAAATTGTAAGATATTTATTTTAATTTTAGTATTAATTATTCTAAAGATAATCTTAACTATTTTTTATATTCATAATTTTAAATATTTTTTAAAATTTATAATCTTAAATAATTTTTAAATTCATAATTTTAATTTTTTAAAAATCATAATTTTAAATATTTTTAAATTTAAATCTTATGTATTTTTTAAATTTATAAATTTAAATATTTATTAAATTATATTTTTAAATGAATCCCATGTGTCAATATCTCATATAATATCACACCTGATACATTACATAGATAATAGTATAGCTCTAAAGTTGGCGATATCGTCCAAAAAGAAGAAATACTCATTCTACACTTTACACATGTTATTACATGGATGTGTATTATTCTGACAAGTGCGATACTGTTTTAAAAGATTAAAAAAAAAATATCGTTCGTAACTCTGATACACCTATTGACATGGTAAACAAAAAGTTTCAAACAAGGAAATAGTTTTTAATTAACTTTATTTTAAAAAATAATTTTTAAAATAATATTATTTATATAAAGAGGTCCTTTTTATCTTTATTTTTATTTTATCACATATCATGGATGTGTATCATGACACGTGCGATACTGTTTTAAAAAAAAAATAGTGTCGTTCGTAACTCGGATACACCTATTGACATGGCAAATAAAAAGTTTCAAAATAAGGAAATAATTTTTAATTAACTTTATTTTAAGAAATAATTTTTAAAATAATATTATTTATATAAAAAGGTCCTTTTTATCTTTCTTTTTATTTTATCACATCACATATCACGTGTTTCTTTTTCTTTTTATCTTTCTCATCCCTCCACTCATTTGACGGGTGTCAAACATATTTTTCTCTAAAAATTAATTTATTTTCTTTGATCAGTCATTCAATGAAAGGGGATTGGAAAATAAGCTTTTTCCAATTGGAATTAGAAACGGTGAATGATTGCATTGGCTTCATTTGCTACGATTATTATAGAAAGGTATCGATGAAAGATGGGTGGTGGGTTGCAGATCAGTCAGAAAGATACGTTGTATATAAGAATGACTGAAATGAATGGATAAAAAGTAAATTATTAGAAAAATGTTAATCAATGCTTTAAGAATTTTAATGTATGCGACTAAGAAATAGTAGTGTAATCCGATAGTTTATATCCTGGTCAACTTACTTTCATTGATCATAGCATCCTCTTCTGTAAATTTATGTTCAATTGATGTTTGCTCAACTCATGATATACTCATACATCAAACTCAACGAAAGCAAAAGCTGTTTCGTTGAGAATGGTTTTGCTACGTGGAAAGTGGGATGTATACCTTAATTAGTGGGTGGCACATTCATATATAATAGCATTATATTCATAAAGGGTTGCAGCAATTCCTCCAAAGAGATCAGGGATGTAAGGTAAGATACATAGTCCCTGTTGGCATTGACATTTTAAAAAGGATTGCATGTCAACATACATTAATTGAAAGAAATAATTAAATTATTTCTTTTCTTTTCAGGGACTTAGTTGCAGTTTTTACATTATTACAATTAATTGAAAGAAATAATTAAATTGATCAGAGAATGTGAATATTCTCATAACAGAAAAAAACTAAGGAATGAGTAATAAAATAGCAGATGCTGTTAAGAGTACTGAGGTTGAATTTGGCTTCTTTAAATTTGTAATAATAAAATAACAAAAGCCTCAATTAGCTTAGAGCTTCTGACACTGATGATTCTGAAACTTAGGATGAATATATGACTTAATTAAATATTAATTTAATAAATTTTCAATAATGTTATAAATTTAATAAAAAGTGACGTTTGTATAATTAATTAATTGATATATATATATATATATATATGATAAACTTTTTTTTTCTTTTCATTTTGATTTGAAGAAAATGCTAGCATCATATCAACGTTTATGATCATAAACTTGTCACAAAATGTGGATCCCTGTATATTTTGTTTTTGGTTACATGAAATCGTGGTATTTGATTGACCAGGAATTGATATTAATAAATAAATAAATAAAAAAGGCAGGCAATATTATAGGTCGACACACCTTTATCATGTTCTTGGCCCATCCACATTTTGGGGGTTAACGGCGGCCGTTAACGGCTGGCAAAGTACATTGCTACAATAATAAATAAGCGTTAGCAACGACAAAAATGTTTGCGCCATTCTTTCGCGCATAACGCCAACCCTCGGAGATGATGAATTTTGAAGTTCGAAAATCGTTGATGAAACTAACCCGAATTTCTGGGCCCAAGTCGTTTTGTCTAACTATACATGTCAATTTATTTCTTGTGTTAGTGTTTAATTACATACATTGGGTAGTTCCTTCAACGATTTAATAGTTGAAGTAATAGTTATTGCTGATTTTCTTTCTAATTTGTTGGAAAATTATGCCACTAAGTTTAACAAAAGTTCTGTTAAAACCCTGCATGCATCTTAGTTAATCAATCAAGTTATCCGTTGATATAAAGCATCTGGTGATTTTGGTGGCTTAAATACTTTTTTTTTTCACATTTTTGTGAATTTTGTATTTTGTTATGATTTCTATTTTTTTTATAAGTTTCTGTTTATAATTTTTATTGCTAATTTGATCCATTAAAATACTGTCTAATATCAACTTTTAGTTAAATGTTTAGTTGGGCCATGTTATCTAGAAGACTGAAAATAATAATTTTTTGAAATATAAAAACTAAAATAAAAGAATTGTTTGGAGAGACTAAAAAAATCACTAAAATGGGAAGATCAAAATTATGCTTAAGCCATGATTTTCTTTATTCATTTTTATGGTAATTGTTGTGTTTGTTTTTCCTTCTCATTATCATCGATATATGTAATTCATTCTCCATTAGCTCTTTAGAGTAAGCGCTGTAATGCTTGGAAATATTTTGTTAGAAAATTGGTGAAAAGGGAGAGATCAGTGAGCCTGTTTTGAGTTTATAGGAATTAGCCATAGATAAAGGAAGTAAAGTAATGCATATTAATTAACTAAGGTTTGAACACATGATGATAGGGCTTGATGAACGCAATGAATTGTTTGTAAAGTCACACATAACGATGATAGAATCACTGGCAAACGTAGGCAGCAACAAACATATAGGAAAAGCTGGTCCTGATGGCCGTCACGAAATTAAGAAACTGTTACATGTCACACTTTGCATTCGTTGGCTTCCACGCTTTTTTCCTGTTCTTTTGCATCTTCTATTCCTTTCTTTCCCTGTAACTGTTGATTCACGTCACCAACACCATTCGCATCTACTGGGATTGGGAACACTTCACAAGATCCCAACGGGTTCACAACAACGATGTTTATCACTGACTCCAATGCTTGCTCTTTCTCCTCTGTAACAACCTGTTGCTTTTTAATACCGCTATTCCTGTAAACGGCATATAGAAGCATCTGAAGTAGCCCCAGAAGAAAACCCACCACATTCGGCAGCTGCAAAATATGCGTTAATCAAATATAGCTGATTACTTGATTAATAATAAAGTTGCTTTTATGTTAAACTAACTCTTAATATATACTTACAGCAATGCATATGTCCTTGAGAAAGAGACCATATGCAAACCACATTATGGCACTCAACGTGAGGAAAAATGACAAATTGAAGGGCATAAACTGTACACTCTTTGTTCTAATCACTTGTGCCTGCAGACCAAAAACTAATTAATTATACAGTGACACTTGGAATCGATACATAGATATAGAATTAAGGAATTAATTCAAGAAAAATTTTAATTGAAATATTAATTATAATTAAAAGCACTCGAATGAAATTTGTACTCACCACAATGCTTAGAGGTGCTGCAAAGACACTCACTGAAACGGAGACACAAATCCATCCAAGGACTTTGACACGGAAGGAACCATTTATAGCAAAATGCGTGACGAAGAGGATCAAGAAGAAGGAGCCCACATTCATCACCGCAAATAGTTTAATGGTTAATTTCTGTAATTAATTAAAACTTGGGTCATCAACTTTGGCGTAACAAAAATATATCTATGTTCAATTTTAATCATTTGGTGAGATCTTGTTAATTATTCATATATAGCTTTGATGATGTGGTACAAGTTAAAATCTATAGAATAGGATTGGGACACATATATACCCTGGCATCCTTGTGCGCATAGACTATGTACGTGACAATGTAGATGATCTCTATGACACATCCAAATGAGTTAATTGTGATAAGGAGAACAGCTTCTTGAATTTTGAGCAATGCATAGTATAACCAAAGCATAGAACTGAATAATGCCACCAAATATGGCAGTGATTGAAAACCTTCAGTGGATTTCTTTTTGTATATTCGGTAAAAAGTTGGCCTGCAATTCAGAGAAGTAAAGACCCGGTGTTATATTCAAAAAGTAAAATTTAAATTGACTTAATATTTTGTTTAAAGAAAAATTAGGAAGCAATATTCATTAAGGAAAATTATATAAATTATATACTTACAGCGGAGCCAAGTACACCATGAAGGAAATGATGTTACCTGAAGATATCAAAAGGAGAATCTGTTAATTCAGTTGTCATGATTCGAATATAGATTATTATATTAAGGATTATGGTAAATTTTGGTACGTAGTCTGCAGGGTTTATTTTTAAATATTTATAAATAAAAAGCGAAAAATAATAAATTATAATTAATTGTGTGATAGACTTTTTCTTTTTACTTAAAGAAAAGGGCGTATAACGCTGGGTGTTAATGTAGGGTGTAGATAGAATTCAGTATTCTCCATATTTAAAATAGAAAAGAAAAGCAAAAAGAGTTTCCCAACAATGATTTAGAGGGAATTTGTGATGAACCTATAACTCAACTACACTTTATAGCTGTGGGGTCAACCTATGTTCACTACAGCCAAAAGAAGGAAAAGAGAAAAAAATCTTAACAAGTGTTTGAAAGAAACGAAGGTCAAAAGGAGTTGGTGAAATAGAAGCGAGAGACAAGAATATTAATAAAAATAACGAGGAGAAAGCAAATTAATGCAGAAAAAGGAGAGAAAGCAGAAACGAAGAACATTTGGTTAAAGAACGTTGGGGAATAGTATAAACGAAGGAATAGTAGAATATAGGAAACAAGAAAGAAAAAAGAAAAAGAAAGATTGGAGGAACTGAACTGAAACAAAAGCATTAAGTGTTACCTAGTATGCCAAAAGTGAAAGCCAAAGGATTGTGACTGCCTACGATAGCCATGGATTCTCTTGGTCCTGGTCTTGGACTTTAGAAATAGAGGAAAAGCACAAGGTTTAGGGGTTGCGAGGAAACCTTAGGTGGGTTTCTTCCAAATCAACCCCTGAATCTTGTGCAGGCACTGAATGAGGATGTGTTGAGCAACTCATGCTATATATACAGAAACGGACGTGGAGTGAGAGAGATGAGAAAATAAGGAAAAAAATACCACAAAGTATATGTTGTTATTATTGATGAGGGCTCAACTCATTCAGCCTTCATGAGGGATTAATCTTTTTTAGTAGGTAGCGTACAGCAAAACCATTTCGCTTCCCAACTCAGGAATGTCCACGTGGCACTTCTTCTGAGAAATGTAAAATTTTCAACTCCTTCGTGCGCACTCACACGTGGCATGTGAATGTGTGATTGGTGGCATGGATGTTCATCATGCATGCAATGCAATGCATGCATGCAATAATGCAAGGCTGGGTGGAGGTAGGGATAGAATGACAGATTCATGGTTCACGTGACACCCCCCCTAAGGGGCGTGAGTGTGTTGTGATCAGCACATCATCGCCTGCATATATCCAACGGAATGCTGCGTCAGCTCTTCTCTTCGTATGTGACACACTTTCTATGCCGTTCTGTTGTACCGTTGTCTTATAGCGTGAGCTAGCTGTTTTTGTGTGCAATTTGAAGGTTTTTCGTGTGTCAGAGGCATCTCGCTTTTTTTTCCCCTTCAAGCCTTCCATTTCTTGCAGTTATGCGAAACTAGGACTACGACAAGATAAGAACCCCCATCAACCATATTTGTTATTTTTTCTTCTTCTTCATGTCCTGCCACGTCAAGCTGTAATTTGCTTATTGGTTCTCTTCTTTTCAACTAACTACCTATAAAGTCCAAACCCACACCCTGCCGTATTCATTTTCCATTTTCATCCCATCCGTTTCTCAATGATTGGGATTGCTTTGATTACTTGAGTTCGTGTATCATTTCCAATTCAATTAACGCTCCCCTCCTATGTTTACCTACTGTTTTATATTCTTCCCTATACTTCACTTTTAATTATTAACATTTCGCGGTAATTACAATGCTACTCTCTTTAATTCTTTACTTTTAATCTCAATCACACACTTTACCTCTTGACTAAATCGGCAAATTAATTGTTAGTCAAAACATAAGTAAATAATTCCGTCGCCATCACTTGTGCATATTCGATGGTGAAAAGTTAGCTTCTCAATTCACGTGTTACTTTTTTTAGACTAATTTTTTGATGATAAAGGAGAAAAAATTAAGGAGGCTTTGACGGAGATATTAATTATATTATACATGAATAGAAGTAACATGACGGTATGCTAATGCTTGATATATATATATATTGGTCGTAACAAGCCGGTCAAACCTGTCTTGACAATTAATTAAAATAATAATTATTTATGTGGTTACCAATTAATCTTTGTGGTGCGAGACTAGCTGGAAAAAGTGTCCATAAAATTAATCAATAATATCTCTAGCCACGCCCAAATTGACATACCCTAGAGTGTGTGAGAGAGTGCACTATACCGTATTCCCATGGCGCGGACTCTTAAAAGGTTGCGATTAGGAATTTGGCGGAACTGATTGAGCGCTAGCATTTGTGTTTTGTGCACGAGCTTTGAAAGCAATCTAAAGCAATTACGGTCTCTATATTTACTATTCAGGGGAAAGAAATGGAAAGATTAAGGAAAAGGTAAGAAAAGAAGATGCCATCATTCAGAAATTGATTTATTAAACAATAGAATTAGCGCTGCTATATACATGTACATGACCACGAGCATCCATTTATCTCGTCAGTGTATAGATCCAATAGAAATCATAGAGTGCTTGGATTGTCTGGGAATAGTGCAGACTCTTCTGTCTAGAAATATAAAAGCCTCTATTCTGTGTAAGGAATAAAGAAGGTATGTTTCGGTGTTTTGTCTCTCTATAAATAGGATAATAAGGTCTCTTGATTAGTTGATTTTATCCCAAAATAAAAAAAAACCTAACATACAATATCTAAACATGAAATGCATGGAGGGAATCTGTGTCTTAAATTTTGAAGAAAAAAAGAGGACTGATTTAATTTTAACATTAAAATGTCTCAGAATAAGCGATTTATATTTATAATTGTGATACTAATAAGAGGAGTGGTAAACATTAAATCTCAATCGCTAACATTAATTTGTAGAAACGAAGTCCTTTTGATGAATTGCTTCAGAAAACAGAGCAATTCTGTAACCGTGCCCAAGTCTTCACCCCTCTTGAATGCACTAAGTTTGATGAATTACAAGCTCAGTGTAAGTCTTCTTTCTTTAGTAGTTGGTACGCATTCGATTACAGAATGAAACTTCCCTCATACATACAGTAAATATCCAGAAAGGTTTCACAACGAGACAACTGGTATTCAGTGTTTTCTTTTTAATGTTATTAAGGTAATCTAGATACAAATTGCTATGAGCTAACATATCAAGTACTGTCACCATTAAGAAACCCTTTCAACATTTATCCTATTTAGTATTCGTACTTTTGTCCCTGTTGTCTTCCCTTGAGAGTATGACCTAATGAGGCAATCTTTAGCACCATTTCCTTACCAACTTTTTTCTATCTTCAACTTTTTTTAAAACAATATTACTTTTAGTTCAACAAGAAACAAATTTTTAATCTATCAAAATTAATAAAAAGTAGTTATATGTTATAAATTTGTGCTTTGCTTTAAAAATGTCTATAGTATTAATTGACATCTTATGTATTAAATGAATAAATATATTTATTTATATAGATAAAGAATTATTTGCTCTGATCCTTTTTATAAAAAATAAAAGACTAAATTACCAGATCAAAAATAATTTGTATAATTATTAAATGGTATAGTTAATAATTTGTATATTTAATGATACTAATCAAAGAATGGTATAAAAAAATTAGCAATTAATATATCTTGAATTTATTATTTATTATTTATAATAAGGACTAAAAAAATGCTACCTTTTGTTTCGTATAAAAAGGACTAACTGAAGGAAGTAATAACTTGTTAATACAAATTTTTATGATAAATAAAAGTATAAGAAAATTTTAGCAATTAATGTATTATAATAAGTATGGCAGAAAGCATTATCATTCATGTTTTGTAATATTTTATAAAAGAAATGCTGCTTAAGTTGCTCTTACTCTTGTTTTTATTCCTTTTTCAGAATTTTACAATGAAAAGCAGTGCTACAATTAATGATGCTCAAACCAAATGCCTAATTATCGATGATAATTTAAGCTAGTGTCTACATTAGCAATTGTATTTTTGTTTAAGTGTAAATATATTATAATTTTAAATATTTTAAATTTTTAATTAATTTTACCTTACACAAATGTTGCACTGGTGAGCAATTCGACTTAATTGCCTGTGCAACTCAGGGACCCTAAAATGAGTATGTGCATGTGTCGTTTATTGGGCCGGCTCGACCAAGACATAAAAAGGTCTCAAACCAAATTTGTTAATGAAATTTTCTATGGCTGTTTTCTTGTTAGCATAACTGCCGATTTGCTATTATTGGTTTAATTTACATGTGAGTTTAATCTCTTTAATTTTAGTTACTTATTAATTTTTATTTTTTAAATTATTTAATTAAGTTCATTATTCCATCTTTTCATTAAAATATTGTGTGGTATATTAATAACTTGTATCAATTAATAAAGCAAAAATATAAGATATATAATAAAAAATAAAAAAGTTGGATTTATGATATAATAATCGATTCCTATTAAAAAAAAATGGGAATCAGTAGCCTTTCAAAGAAAACTTTCAAACCTTATCGGTGATTTCGTCACAGAATTTGGGGTGTGCTTATAAGGGAAAAATAAAAAGAAACCTAATCCAAGTTGGGACCATTTTAACCGACTTGATTTCTTCAGAGGGACGTTTTGTGTACATTGAGACAGTGTTCATTTTTTCTTCTCATGCTGAGTATCGTCCCATCCAATATATAAGTGACAAATTATTACGAGACTCTTATACATTTAAGGTTTTACATACTCCATAATCTAAATTTTATTTTAAAATTAAGGTTATAGCATATGCTCCATTTTTCATTTTACACGCCAATGCATCATGTTCTATTTGACCTTTATATATTTTATACATGAATTTTACGTGAATTAAAACAAATGAAGTTGTACGTAAATTGAAATCGAATGTCATTTGACCTACATTTATATATTTTATATGAAAATTTAACATTTAAAAGAATATTTCATTCTAGTTAAATAGTGGTCGGAAATAATCTTTCTCAAAATAACAAATCATGAATATAATTTAACTATTATTTTTAGGACAATCTTTAAGAAATTAAAGAGTATATTTTGTTAAATATTATAATGTGGATACATTAAAAATTATAAAAAAAATATTTATTTAATAGGATTTTTAATAATCAAAATATATTTTTAATGCTTTTTCTATATTAAAACATTATAATTAGTATTTAATTGTACAATAATTTAAAATTTTAATTAAAGAAATACAAAAATAGTATTCGACTGTGTCTTAAATATTTTTTAAATAAAATAATACATGTTAGAAAAAGGAAAAGAAATGACATTTTATGTATGAATTAAAATATTAATTTATCGTTTTCTCAACCTTAATTAATCTAGATGCATAATATGATATCTGTATATCGATATTTAAAAATAGTTTAATTTTAATGTAGGGTTAGCATAAATTTTTTTTACAGTAGTATATTTAACTCAACATTTTAAAAAAATAGATCCAATTTATAATTTACAATATAGTTTTAAATTTAACGGACCATCATTCATCAAATTTGTATGCACAATAATAGGTTAAAAAATAATAAAATGAAGCAGTAACCTTGAAAATTCTATCATGTTACCCAATATGGCAAAAGGAAAGAAACCCTTTTGCACAAGAACAGAAGAAGGTGGAGTTAGAGTAAGAGTAATAGTAAAACGGTAGAAATTAGAAGAGTAATAAGTGGCCGTGAATTTCGAT